TGATTGGCTGTACTCTGTCCCACCCTGTGGGATGTCCCCTTGCATGGGGACTTGCATGAAAGCCAGTGTGTGGTCATTAAAATCAGATCATCTTGTACCTTTCTTGAAGCCTTGGCTCATGTTTGGGGGATTGGAGAACTACACTCTGGGGATTGCTATAATCACTATACTCCCCAGGGTATGATCACTAAGCTCTGCTAAGAGCTTGTTCCTATTCCTGCTCTCTGGGGAAAAAGAGGTTGACCCGCTGGTAGCTGGATCCTGGCCTTGGGTCCAGGGTGGGTGGAGACGGCGAGACCCCAGCGCAGCCGCATTGCTGGAAGTGGGGTCTGCAGTGCTGATGGTGTCGGTTGGAGTGCTTTGAGTCCTCACTAACACCAGGAGCATCGATCGGCGGAGGTACTCAGTCGGAGTGCCAGCGGTCCGTCACAGCCTTCAACAAAGATGGCCAATATGCCATAATGACGGAAGGGACGTCTGGCCGATATGACCATCCAAAGAGGAAATAATGTCTAATTCGGCAGATCGGAAGTGACGTAACACCCTGTCCCGATCGGAACCCGCCCACATGTGAACAATTGACAAGTAAAGGAGTGGGCTATTTAAGCAGCAGCACATACAGGACACAGCAGAAACATTGAGAGACTTGATAGTCAAAACACGTCTGATCTCTACCTCAAGGACTATTTATATATACTACTTTGTTTTTACATTATTGTATATGTCCTGAAATTATTTTCATTGATCCTGGTGCTGCTGATGGTCTACTTTCTTGGTGGATTCCTTATCTGGACCAGTCTGTGACAAACTCCCCTTCCTACGCGAGTTTGCCCTGAGCTCCTGGAGGAGCCTGCTTGCCAGCCTCCTGCCTCAAGACTATGGGCCATGCGAAAAGGCTCATAATAGACTTTGTTCGTGCCCTTTCTCTATTCTGTTCGGGAACCACCCGGGAGCTTGTTAAGCCTAATTGACAGTTTGTAACAAGTTCCACCGTAATGTTCTAATTGTTCGTCTGGGTGGCCGCTGTTTGCATGAATGACCACAAGGTGGTGGCCATCTTGTTCACATGAACCCAGGCAACGGTGTTTGGTCATTGAGTTCATGGAACTGAAATCGGACACAGAAACTCTCGAACACTGATGGACTTCCAGCATCGCCTGCGTTTGGTTCTACACCACTTAGAAGGGCACTATTCGGTGAAAACGTTTCCACGAACAAGGTGAACAAGCTCCAGTGTAAGACTATTGACAACGTTCGGTAGTTTGTTCGTTTTTAAACTACTGAACTAGACCAACCACTAGCCATGATTTCATGGAACTGTTTTGGGCATAGGACCATGTGGACGGTCGGCTAAATAATTGACTCCCATGAAAATCTCGAACCCATGAACCGATCTGGGTGATTTTTGGATATGTTGGTCACCCAGATCAGGGCTATTAGGGGATGTAACTTTTGTGGGGTTTTTGTGTATTTTGGGGTGTTTTATAAATTGTGTGTTTTCTGTGCCTGGAGATAATTGAGTTTGACTGTGTCCAGATTAAAGCATTCCAGCTTGTACTCCCAGAACTATGTGTCGTCTGGTTACTGGGAGGGGAAAGGGCTAATCACTACTGCAGCTTGTTCCAGTGTGGAGGATGCAAAGGGGAAAGTCCTTTTAAGGACTAGAGATCCCAAGACTGGGTGTCGTCCAGTGCCTGAGAGTTTATAGAGTGAGTTGCCCATTCGGCTCCAGGACCCCAGTCAAGTCACGGTGACTGGGGGGCAGGAGTGCTGAGGTTTATCCCCTGTTCCCGCTAGGAAGCGGTCCTTGGCAGATGTACCCAGCCGGGGTAGAGGGAGCTCTATTACACAGTCTGCAAGTGGTCTTCTTTGCCTATACAGGCACCCTTGGGCATTTCACACAGAGTCTGGCACGGCTCTCTAATTTGTTGTATTTGAGCTATACTTCTACCTGCATTACTGTGTGTATAAGTATTATCCATTCATCTTTTTAACACACTTGTAGGGTGTATTATATATTGTAGTTGTACACATTGTGGGGTTTTTTATGTTTGCTTTATATTTCACTGTTTAGGCGTTGGGGAAACACCTATCTACACCCTTTAGGCATTTTATTTTCTCAGAAGCGCCATGCTTGCTCACTATGTGGATTCTATTTTGCGTTTTGCTCAAATGCTTAGCCGAACACGTATGTTAAACACATACTTTGCATCTTTATACTTGGTGCAGTTGTGGCTTTTTAAAAAAGTTTAACCCCTTAAGGATGGAGGGAAAAGTGCTGATCAAAAATGTAAACAAACTCTAGAATTTGAATATATATATTACCTCTTTCATATTAAGTGCAACCACACTTATTATATATTATTTTCTTTAGGAGAAATAAACACTGCTTTCATTTCAGATCAAATATCTATATATGAAAACATTTATATATGAAACATAATGTAACCCCTTAGTGACCAGACCGTTTTTCAATTTTCTCACCGTTAAGGACCAGGGCTCTTTTTACACTTCTGCAGTGTTTGTGTTTAGCTGTAATTTTCCTCTTACTCATTTACTGTACCCACACATATTATGTACCGTTTTTCTCGCCAATTAATGGTCTTTCTAAAGATACCATTATTCTTATCATATCATATAATTTACTATTAAAAAAATGATAAAATATGATGAAATTTTTTTAAACAGCACACTTTTTTGAACTTTGATCCCCAAAATCTGTTACGCATCTACAACCGCCAAAAAAACACCCATACTAATAGTTTATAAATTTTGTCCTGTGTTTAGAAATACCCAATGTTAACATGTTCTTAGCTTTTTTGGAACGTTATAGGGCTATAAGTACAAGTAGCACTTTGCTATTTCCAAACCATTTTCTTTTTCAAAATTAAGGAAAGTTACATAGTTACATAGTTACATAGCTAAAAAGAGACTCACATTTATCAAGTTCAGCCTTCCTCACATTTGTTTTTTGCTGTTGATCCAAAAGAAGGCAAAAAAACCTAGTTTAAAGCACCTCCAATTTTGCAACAAACTAGGGAAATAAATTCCTTATTGACCCCAGAATGGCAGTCAGATTTATCCTTGGATCAAGCAGTTATTACCCTACATTGAAAAATTATATCCTTGAATATTTTGTTACATGTAACACTGATATCTGTCAGGAATCCCTGAATAACCCTTCACATGTGTATATTTTTTAAAAGAAGACAACCTAAGGTATTAAACTTGGGGTATTTTGACTCTTTTCATGCAACCACCATTCTATGCCAAATTTAAAATAAAAATATAAATAATTGGTGATTTTTTTTCACACATATAGCAATTTAAGAATACATGAACTGAGAACTTTAAGGGTTACTGCCAAAGAACACCACAATATGTGTTCAGAAACATCTCCTGAGTACAGTGATACCACCTATGTATAGGTGTGTCGGGTTCTCTGGGGGCTAAAAGACCTTATTTGGAGGGTGCGCATTCCAGTTTTCCAACTTGGAATTTTCACAGCAGGTCATCATGCACTCATGTCCTATTTGGGACATTTTTTGAAGTCGGCCAATGTAATTTATCCCCATCAAACCATATATTTTTTTGAAACGTAGACAACCCAGGGTATTCTATATGGGATATGACCAGCCTTTTTTAGTAGCCACTTACTCACAAACACTGGCCAAAGTTAGCATTTATTTTTGTATGTGTGTTAAACATGCAAAAAACAATTATGAATGCTAACTTTGGCCAGTGTTTGTGACTACTAAAAAGACTTTACATACCCCATTTGCAATACCTTGGGTTGTCTCTTTTACAAATGGTATGAGGGTAGTTCTCATTCTTGGGCTACCATACGCTCTCAAAGGCAACATAACCAATCTGGCAAATTTCTATGTGATAAAACAACCTTATATTTGATCTTGCAACTTTCAAAAACCTGTACATGGGGGTACTATTATATCCGGGAGACTTTGCTGAACACAAATATTAGTGTTTTAAAACAGTAAAACAGTAAAACGTATTACAACAATGATCAGTGAAAGTGCCGTATGTGTGTGAAAAATGCAAAAAAGTCACTTTTACTGACAATATCATCGCTGTGATGTGTTTTACTGTTTTGAAACACTAATTTGTGTTCAGCAAAGTCGACCAAGTAAAACCAGTACCCCCCATGTACAGGTTTTAGGATGTCTTGGAAAGTTACAGGGTTAAATATGGTGCTAGCAAATTAAATTCTCTGGACTTTCGGCCTGGGTTGTCAGGCCGGTCCCCCAAATTGCAATCAATAAAATTACTTAATTATGTAAAAATATTACATAAAAATGCACGTAGAATTTAAATATATACATATTTATATATTTGAAGTCTAAGTGTATATTTATGTAATTATGTATATGGACATATGTATATTTCGTATTATTTTTATTTTTTTATATATACATAGATATATATATATAATTTCATTCTAAGTGTATTTTGATGTAAATATATATTCTTTTATTCGTAAAAATGTTTTAATATATATATATATATGCATACACAATATATATATATATATAAATATATATTTGTATTCAGGGCCATTTCAGTATAGTATGAAATAGCTAGTGAGCATACTTATCATAATAATTAAAAGTCTGTAGAGGTGTGCCAAAATCGACATTTGTGGTAGGCCTGTAAATAAGACGACCCACCTTAAATAGTATTTGAATAGAGGGAGAGGAGGGTGGGCCAAACGAGCATCTGGACCAGAAGGTGAATGAGGTAGGAGGGGGAGTCCCTTTTAAAGGGATATAGCCCCTCCCACAACTTCAGGCCCTGCCTTCCAATTTGTATTCGGGGCCATTTCAGTATAGTATGAAATAGCTAGTGAGTATACTTATCATAATAATTAAACTCGGTAGAGGTGTGCCAAAAGCGACGTGTGTGGTAGGCCTGTAAATAAGAGGGCAAAAAGGAATACCCATATAGTGTTATCAAAGATATTTATTAACGAAAACACAAGACATGGAGTTAGCATATTTACGATGACATTTTCACAAACGCATGCCTTAATTCTTGTGTTGGCTGTGGTATGTAAACAGCGTAAGCGGATGACTTCCAGCGGCCCAAGGTTTTTATAATGTGAACCGGGATGTCTAGGCCTGAGGCCGTGGAGGCTGCCCCTATCCGGAATGAATGCCCAGAATAGTTTGCGGCGTTTAAGCCAAGTCTGGTCAATAGTAAGCGAATATACATCACAAATTTGGCAGTAGTGAGTGCTGTGCCGTGCAGTGAAAGGAGAGGGAGTGAGGTTCGTGTAGGTGATGACTGTGGATAGTTGTTAAAAACTGCACGAGAGGGATCATCCTCCCAGAATGCACCGTTAAGGGGATTATCCCCTCGTGCAGCAGAACCGGCAATTCATACAAAAATACATAACTTTTAAAATACACGGTGGATTTACACGAATGGACGTTCGGTAGATAGCTGGGGTCTGGGCGCATCATTCGTGAGATTGCCGCTCAGATCCCAGCTAAAATAACCGAACGCCGCACAGAAAACACATTTCTTTCAAAACACACGAAAAGAACCGATTGCTTTTAGTGAACCTGGTCCTGAAACTCCCGAACGTCCTGGAGGCTCAGCGGTGTTCGTGCCGTCGAATAACTATTGGTAATGCTATGCGTTCGACGACACGGACCCGCTGAAGAACAAGGGATCCAAGATGGCCGACCGCCGCATGGTCGGTAGTCGAACGACGGCCACCCAGGAGAGCCTCTAATAACCGATTGCAACAATGTTGCAATCGGTTAACTAGCGCCACACGCCTCTAAGTGTGTGGGCTATTAGGAGGGTATCGCGTTCGGTTCACGAACGGCTTTCTAAAGTGCCGTTCGTGAAACGAAGGAAAATCCCCATACAAAACCGCCATTTGCATTCGGCGGAAACAGCAGTACAGGCAATACAGGAAATACATTAACATCTTCATAAGTGTAAAGCGCATATCTCGCCCGACCTATTGGCAACCCTTAAAGGCACAGTCTCTAGTTATTGTCCAAGTGGCTAGGTTTGCCACAGTTTGTTAGATGTTTTCCCAGTGACTAGTCCAATGGGATTTGTTCTCCAATTAGAGAACGGCGGGTCAATAAATGGACCTAAGACAAATCCTTGGTCTTGTTCTATTTGTAGTGGGTAGTCTACTGCGTCTGTGTCACAAAGGGTGGACTGGAGGTTGTTGGTTTCCCATGTACCCCCTGGTATGTAAATGAGGCCAGTATGAAACCCTTGGGAAAACCCTGCAATCAAATACTCCACAAGATGTGTAGAAGGGTGCTTGGAGAGAAGCCCTGCCAGAACATCAACATTCACAGTAGTTAGGTAGGGTTTAACGTGCATTTTATTAGGGCACATAGCCTTTACATGTGCCCTGAAACAATGGGAGCAGATATGCAACAGACGGCAAGCACTATAGGAGCAAGCCCCAACATTAAAATTATTACATATCTGCGACTTGCCCAAATACACGATAGGGCGACCCATCGTCTGTGGAGACAGGACAGAGATTTGCAGCATGCGTGGTAGCCGCACATATTGCACAAGCTGGAGACCTTAGCCTGGCAAAGTGCCTGAAGAACAGCTCTGTATCCATTAGGCTCCAATCCACTCTTGCGTTATACTGGGCGAGAGCTGTTGCCGCTTTAGTTGAAAAAGAATGGTGGTAGTCGTAAAATGATGACCCACCATATTTGTTGCCCAGGTCTACCAGCTTGTGCATGCACAGGTCTAACTCTTCCCTTCTCTGTGGGTTAACTGAGCACAGTACGTCCCTGTAAATTCTGAATGTGATAACGAAGTCTGGGATTGCTAGTTTTTAGCTTAGTCTAGGATGTCTGGCCTTGAGGACCACAGAAATATCACCATACGTATATGCGCGGTTTTCTGTGATATCCTGGGAGGCAATAAGCAGAGAGACTAGATTTACATCCTTGCCCTCCAGGATGTCTTTTTTAAGGTTTGCTGGTACCATATGGGCTGGGTTGATCACTTGTGACCCAAGGATGGTGGGGGTATTAGGGTTACCAGGTTGGGCTTGCGATGGTCCTGGGATATCGGTAGTGGGTGGCTCTGGTGTCACAACTGGACCGCTACGAGCTTCCAGTCTTTCCAGTCTCTCATTAATCTGCCCCATGGAAGACACTAGTGAGGTGACCATGGTATGCAGATTAGCATTGCTTGAATTACTAGTGCCTTCCCTGGCGTCAGAATTGTCCTGATTGGCTTGCATAAGCCTGTACAATTCTGCCTTGCGGGCCGTAGCTGGATAAGGAAGGCCGTGATCCTTAGGATGGTCCATGATCTAATAGATGATGGGCTGCCGATGTCCCCTTTGCATGTGGGGGTGGCAGTCCTGGTCGGTGTACTAGGCATTGATAGTTCATCTCCTTCTTCATGAACTTGGGACATACTGAAATATATATATATATATACGTATGTAATTGTGAGTTTCATTATAGAGGGTGTAAAATGTTGTTTAGTGCCAAAGTGGCAAAATAATTAATTAAACTTGTGGCAGGTGAGTCCCTATTAAATGGCAAGTGGCTAGTAGGATTTAACTATGGTTGGCGCGTGGGGTTGATCTGCTGTACATGTTTTACAAGTGGAGATTTTATCGTTAATTGAGGGTTATGACGGATGACGCCCTAGCTATGCAACATACGAGGCTTCTAGCTATGATTTGGCCCGTGGGGGTTTAATACCTCTTACATTGAGGATGGAAGTTGGCCTCGCAGGACCTCTGAAACCACGCTGGGAACCTGCAATCCAAACGAGCATCTGGACCAGAAGGTGAATGAGATAGGAGGGGGAGTCCCTTTTAAAGGGATATAGTCCCTCCCACAACTTCAGGCTCTGCCTTCCAATATATATATATATATATATTTATTATACATATATGTGTGTAATTTTACTCTAAGTGTATTTTTATATTAATATATATATATATATATAAATAAAAAAAATATACTTAGTATGACATTATATATAACATATATATATATATATATATATATATATACACACACTTTTTATATATATATATATATATATATATATATTATATAAATACATATATATATTTTTTAAATTTATTAATTTTAATTTTTTTTTAAACTTTTTTCACCAGCAGGGGGACTGCCTGTCAGGGGTAAGCGATCACCCGATTTTGTCCAGGGGCCTGGCCGTGAAGGGGTATTGCAGCGATGTCTTGACATCGAGGCAATGCAGCAATGCCTTTAGAGCTGCTGGAAGCGATCATGATTGCTTCCAGCGCTCTAATTCCCCGCAGACGTACTTAAGGACCGTTTTTTGTCGGACGTACCTGATACGTCCTTGGTCGCGATGAGGAAGACATATCCTCTAAATTGTGATATAAACTTTAATCTAAAGTTCATAAATATACAGAGTGACTTGTCATATGTATGATATCAAGCTTAGTACTTGTTATAGGTATTCCCTCCTGGGCTGTTAGGTTTCCAATGAAGGAGAGTGAGATTGGTACTATAACCACTTTAGTTGTTTGGACTATACCATCACTGAGGACCACAGGTGCTGTTTAATCTTTTGTTTACTCAGGAGACCCCTAGTGTGTTAATGTAACTATAAATTTCTAAGCCCAGATAGCTCAATACCTAATGTGTCTCAATATAAGGAGTTACTGTTATCCTTGTTAAGTCTGTTAAATTGTGATATAAATGTATTTATATACAGAGTAACTTTTCATATGTATGATATCAAGCTTAGTACTCCTTATAGGGATTCCCCCCTATTTTAATTCACATTAATTCATTTTTTTATTTGTTTACGTTATTTATTATATTTTTCACGATAGTGTATATGTAGAAGTGTGCAGCTATTACTAATAAAGACTATTATCAAATTATCTCTAATTGTATCGCTATTGTATTGTCAAAATAAGTGTTTTTATACTAGTGGTAATCTCTGGAGTTTGATTCCATCTCTTTGGGAATTGGATCTCTATTTGCCTGGAACTCTTTTCGGCTATGCACTTGCACGAACCCTGGCAAAGATTGTACCGCTGCACATTCCACTTCCCGACCAGCTATATGAACGTCATTCAGGAGATAGAAGCAACCAATGCTCCCTAAAAGCAAGGTAATATCTTGTACGGTGTTCGCACAGGAACCCCTGAACGGAGACCTACCATGGCACCTACTTTCAAGGAACTATTTTGGACTTTCTCCTTGTAGCCGGCCGGAGGACAGAACTTTACCCCGGTGGCAATTCTATTCTACTGAACGGATCTGAGCACTATTTGGCCAAGTGAGGCGCTCAGATCAGGGCTATCCGGGGATTCCAGTGGGGTTCCTGTTAATATTGGAAGTACTTTTGGGGTATTATATGAATTTAATGTATGTTTCCCTGTAACTGAGAGATAATTGACTTATAGTTTTCTGACTCAATTATCTCCCAGACACAGGAATGCCAGGGAGTGGCTTGCTATGTTTCTGTATGGAGACCCCCCTTGTTGCAGGGTCTGTGTATAAATTCAGAGTGTTTGGCCTGAATAAAGCTGGTGACTCCCAGAACTATGTCTTGTCTAGTTACTGGGGGGATACGAGCTTAATCACACAATGGTTTCAGTCTGGCTGAGAGGGAAAATAGCAGAGGTTACCCAGAGTCCGCTCCAGGGGCTATAATCAGGGCCGGAGTGGAAATTTCCCGGTGGGCAGACAACCCTAATCATTGCACAAATTCCCTTTACATGATTTCCCCTCGGACTGTGACAGCCTGTGTCAGTCCAAGGGAAATAAGGAGGGACGTGCTGGGGGCTGGTGCGGCCGCTGTAGTGGTTGTTAGGAGTACCCTGCAGTCAATCCTTGATAATGGGGCAAACTGTATTACAACAATCTGCCAGATACCAAAGGTCCTTAGACCAGGCTTTACAGCATCTGGGTGTTGCAGAAGCTGGATGCCGATCCTGCTTTTCATTTACTGGCTGAATTAGATTCTGCACATCCAATGTGCACAGAATTGACATTCTACAGCTTGAAACTCTAATAGGGTTTAAACATGGTAGGTGCAGTTTTACAAAGTGAGATGCTGCACATACAGACTCCAGGCAAGCGCTATGACTACTTCAGATCACTGAACCTGTACCCGGAGTAACCCTTTAAGTTAACATTAATCAATTAATACGGATTAATAAAGCCATGTCTCTTTTATAAATGAGGGATGCAAGACCAAATTTCTTCTTGGATATCTGGATGAAAAATCTGTTCTTCTTGAGTCCACATTTTTGAAAAAACAATGTCCACATCATAACAACTTCAAGATTACTTGTAAGTCTTAAGTACTTGTAAGTCTTTGGGGTGATGAATCCTGCATTACTGCTAAACTGTTTATGGACAGTTTAGTAGAGCTGCTCGGCATATAACAGCCTGAAGCCTGTAACAATGACATATGGCAGAGGCAAAGGTATGGTTCCACTTTGTGCCAGCTTATACCAGGGAGTGGGGCAGTGATTGAATGAGAGCTACCTGGTATCGAATGAAATGGAGCACAGATCCACCTTCACAATTTTGTTATTGGTAGCCACTGCCAGGCTACATGTGTAAACCATTAAACACTTATGCGGGACCAGGCACCCACAGACTCCAGGCACCATAACCTCTTCAATCTATTGAAGTAGTTATGGGTACTACAATGTTCCTTTAAGGAGCTTTAATTTTCTGACTACAAATGAAAGCTGAGCAGCAATGGCATATTCTGGAAATCTAGAAGGCTGAGATCACCCTCTTCTTTCAATAAAGTAAACATTTCTAGATTCAGTCTTGGGTTCAAATCACTGAAAATATATTTTATTAAGAAAGACTTCAAGGAATTTATTACAGATAGAAGAATAATAATATGGAGTTTCGCAGATGATCAATAAATATAGCTGGATGTTCACATATATAAAGGTCTAATCTTTGAAACCAACTAATATGTGAGAAAGATCATTGTTAAGGACAATTAAAGTTATTTTTGAAAGTAGGCATACCATGTTATCATTAAATTAGCAATTTGGGCACCATAATGACAATCAAAATGAAGTTGTTGTTATGGTTCCAGGAGGTCCCGGGCACTGGCTTAACTTAAGCGATTAACCCCTTATGGACACATGACATGTGTGACATGTCATGACTCCCTTTTATTCCAGAAGTTTGGTCCTTAAGGGGTTAAACTGTTTATGCATGGTTTAACCCCATGTTCTCGAATGCCCATTCATTTTGTCCCACTATCCTTCAACTTTCTGAAAATATTCATGAAGGAAGATACGGAAATACAGTACATATCTTTTCAAACTGTTTTATGAATGGGGAGCTATTGATTAGCGTACAGCGGTCAGTAGACACTATACGAATCAGTGGTGCCTCTGCCTCAACCTTCAGAAAGCTTGAGGGCAGAGGTGCATGAATGGTTTACCCCTAAAGGTAAATCAGCACCAGCGACTTCCTGGCATCACAACAACTTGCTTTCAATGACATTGCAATGTTGCATGCAGTGTTCCTTTAAGGAAGGTGTCAATATCTACTGAAAAATATGTAAACTAAAACAAATAAAATATTTTATAATATAATCACTACAACTGAAAGTGAGAGATTTTAAAGCGGGTTAAAAATAATCACCATGTACTAAAATTCCTGATTTACTTAGACGAGGCAGAGAAGACTTAATGACCCACATGCTCGAGGCAGGATACTAGTTGGATCACATAGGGATGGTGAATGGAACCAAGCAGATTCATGGATCCATGGCTATTCTCTAACCCCTGGGACCAATGTAGCCGCATAAGATCACCTAATGGATGATTTAATAATCATGCTCATAGATAAGGTTTAAAAGTTTGGATGTTGACCATATAAATATCTGTCAGATATAATATAGGGGTTAACAACTAAAATTGGTTGTTACAACTGTGTATTTATTATGACAGGAAGACAGTGTATATGTAATGTATCAAGGATAGGAAAATTATATAGATTAAAGGATAATAGAATGCAATTTTGCATTGATCTTGCCTCCTCAGTCTTCTAAATATAAAGAAAAGGGTTTTTTTCTATGAAAGGGTTAATAAAAGTAAAAGCCTAGCTTAAGCTGTTGTACAATTCAAAATATCAGTATTGATACGACAGGATGAAAAAAGTGTACATGTTGTTAGAAAATAGCTTCCATTTACACAGAGTTTCTAATGTTAAACAGCCAGTCCAGTTCTTAGACCAGGCCTTAATTCCATCATGCAGTCTGTACAGATTCTCTGCTTACTCCTCTGATGTCCGAGAGATGACGTGCAGCACAATTGGTTTCTTTGGCTGCAAGAAGCCTTGCGTGCTAAACTCCATGGGGATCTGTAAAAAAATAAAAATAAATGTATACTGGTCCAGGGATATGAATTACTTGGTTTGCATAAGTTTGATGGGAATGACATGCCATTTACGACTGCCATCATTTATACTAACCCCATCCACTCAATCAATCAGATTGACTTCTCTGTTTCACACAGGATGGTCTTGACAAAAACAAAGGATATTCTCTAGATGTCTTATATCCACTCTGTGTTCTATCAAAGGGGTATGATGTAATCAAGGCTTTGTTAAAAGGTGTGATACTAACTTCTTTGATCACCGTTTACATTAAATCAGTCACAAAATTAAAACCACCTTCCCAATATCGTGCCCATCCCGCTGGTGCTGCCAAAACAGGTCTGATGCATCAAAGAATGGAATCCACAAGACCTCTAAACAAGTCCTTTAGTATCTGGCACCAATGTATTAGCTGCAGATTCGTTATGTCCTGCAAGTTGCAAGGTAGGGCCTTTATTGTTCAGATTTGTTGTTCCAGCACATTGGATTGAGATCTGGTGAATTTGGAGGACAAGTCAATACCTTGAACTCTTTGTCATGTTCCTAAAACCATCCCTGAACAATTTCTGTAGAGCCACCGCCGTCAGATAACACCATTACCATGAAGGGTTGCTAACAACAATATCTAGGTAGGTGGTATGTGTCAAACATAATATCCACATTAATGCTACGACCATGTTGAGCTCTACAGTGTAGCAAAAATGAGATGAAGCAGCAAATTCTTACATGCCTATGCGTTTCGTTTCAAAAAATTTTTTCAAGACATCTAAGATTAGTTCACAAGGCAAGTTAAATAGCCTGCAACACCTGGTAGAACACACCTCCTCCTAATTGTTTCACAATAAAGGGATAAGTTGCCTAAACATTAGAAAAAAAGTTGTTAAAAATGACCTAATTCATTCATGTAGCAATATATAAAATATATATATACAAAAACAGTTCAGCAACTAGATACATATTGTCAAAAAAGTCAAAAGAGTTGCTTTTAAAGGCTGTCATCACAACACATTCAATGGAAATGTCAGTGATGTCTCTACAGCTCTGCTTCTACACTCAACTCCAGGAGGTATGGAGGAGAAACATCAAATGATAATGATTTGTCTGTAAGTGATGGATAAATGGAGAGCAATGCCTCCACATTTTTTCACAAATCTATGAATTGGAAGAGAAAATAGGAGCAAATAGAGTGGGAGGAGCATGACACTGACGTTGTAGCTCCAAGAACAAAATAGAGAACAGTCACCAGTACGTTCGAACCAAGAAGGACTTAAGTGTTGCGTATATCTTGGGAGTGACTTGCTTTTTCAGATGTCGGAGTCGTAAGAACCTACTCTTATATACTGTTTTAATTTCCAGATTAAGTTATCCATTTTAAAGGACTGTGTTACATATTCTGTTTCATTCATAGCATAACATGCCTCCACCGGACTACATTCTTCCCGTAGTGCATTATGCTGCCATCTCTTCCCCAGGTAAACAACACACACGCACTCAGTTATCCACCTGATCTAAAAAAAAAAAATATGATCTATCAGACCAGGCAACCTTCTTTCATTGCTCCCTGGACCGGTTTTGATGAGCAAGCCCCCATTGACGGCGTTCAGGGTTTATCATGGGCACCATAACCGTTCTGTTTCTATTCAGCACCATACGCAGCAAATTGCAATGTACTGTGTGTTCTAACACCTTTCTATCATGGCCAGTATTACGTTTTTCCACATTTTAAGTTACAGTAGTTATTTTTTGTGATTGGACCAAATTGACTTACCTTCTCTCCCCACACGCATCAGTGAGACTTGGACAGTCATGACCAAGACGCCAGTTCACCGGTTGTCCTTCCTTGCAGTACTATTGGTTGGTACTAACTGGCAACACCCCACAAGACTTGCCATTTGGGAGTTGCTCTGACCCAGTCGTCTAGCCATCAGTATTTGGGCCTTGTCAAAGTCACTCAAATCTTTTTACTTGCCTATTTTTTCTGCTTCCAACACATAAAATTAAAGTACTGACTATTCATTTGCTGCCTAATATATTGACCGGTGTCATTGTAATGATATAATCAAAGTTATTTACTTCACCTGTCAGTGGTTTTAATTTTGTGGCTGATCAATGTAAATCTCAATTATTTTCATTCATTTCTACTTTCACCAGTGAAAAAAAAAAAATATATATTTTGTACAAAACATTGTGGCATGTGTGCAAAGAACAAGCTAAAAAAACATTTACAAAACCCACGATAATGTGATTGATTTAATGCTATTGTTTTGTACTCTCCCTCTATTACGATATATTCTCACCAGTGTGTCTTTGCAAGGCCGGAAGTTGAAGTTCTGCAGCAGGACAGTGATGGCCAGTTTCATACTGAGCAAAGCAAATCTCATACCAATACAGTTTCTGGGGCCATCTCCAAATGGCAGGAATGTATAAGGTTCTTGGCTTGCTCTATTTTCTTTACTGAATCTAGTGGTAAAGGGACAGTTTATAGCACAGAATGATTAAATCTTTGTACAATGGGTAGGAAACTAGTGTCCATCATTTAATTGTTACAAATATATTGGTCTCCTGGTAATGAGGAGGATAGATAGATAATATTTGTTAATCGTTTTTTATTTTGTTATAATTTGCATCACTTATAAACACATAAAATACAATTAGACCCCAACATATCATGTACTAGTAAAGAATGTCCACTTTATTTTGCATTTGCAGCTCAATATTGCCAGGCAATAGTTCAATAAGTGTGACATGCTTTTCTGACAGAGGATCTTTAAAAAACAAGAAAGAGGGAGGGAGGGGGGAGGAGATGAAAACATCAACTTTTCTCATCCAGGGCCAAACTCTTTCATTTTGGCCAGTGTCTGTGACTAAGTGGCTACTAAAAAAAGACTGGACATACCCCATTTGCAATACCTTGGGTTGTCTACTATTGCAAATGGTATGCCATCATGGGGGTAATTCTCATTCCTGGGCTACCATACGGTCTCAAAGGCAATGTAACCAATCTGGCGAATTTCAATGTGAAAAAACTGAAACTCAAGCCTTATATTTGACACTGTAACTTTTGAAAACACTATAAAACCTGAACATGGGGGTACTGTTATACTCGGGAGACTTCGCTGAACACAAATATTAGTGTTTCAAAACAATAAAACGTATCACAACAATTATATCGTTCGTCTAATTGCAATTTGTGTGTGAAAAATTAAAAAAAATGTCACTTTCCCTGACGATGATATTATTGTAATACATTTTACTGTTTTGAAACACTAATATTTGTGTTCAGCGAAGTCTTCCTAGTAAAACAGTACCCCCATGTACAGGTTTTATGGTGTCTTGGAAAGTTACAGAGTTAAATATAGTGCTAGCAAATTAAATTCCCTGGACTTTCTGCCTGGGTTGTTAGGCAGGCAGGTCCCGCAAATTGTAATTAATAAAATGACCTAATTATGTAAAATTATTACATAAATATATATATATATATATATATATATATATATATAGTGATCTATAAGTTTATACTTCTGTATATCTGTATATGATCCTGACGAAAGTTCTGTACTGGAACTGAAACGTTTATCACTGAGGCATCTTGCTGAATAAAAGTTTTTCACGGTATTATCTAGTCCCTGGAGTGTTATCTTTCTATAGACTGTTATAATTTTTGGCTGACAAGCACTGGGCGCCTATTATATCTCCAGGAGTGCAAGCATTGGATATTTTTGTATGTAGATATATATATATATATATATATATATATATATATATAAATATATATATTTCGCTCTACGTGTATTTGGATACCAATATATATATTCATTTTAAAATACAGTTAGAATGAAATTACACATACCATATATACTCGAAAGTCGAGACCCCTACTTTTACCCCCCAAAAATGGGAAATTGACTCGAGTATAAGACTAGGGTGGGAAATGCAGCAGCTACTGGTAAATTTCTAAATAAAATTATATCCCAAAAAAATTATATTAATTGAATATTTATTTACAGTGTGTGTATATAAGGAATGCAGTGTGTGTGTGTGTGTATGAATGCAGTGTGTGTGTGTGTGTATGAATGCAGTGTGTGTATGAGTGCAGTGTGTGTATGTATGAATGCAGTGTATGTGTGTATGAATGCAGTTTGTGTGTGTGTGTGTGTGATGCAGAGGTGGGCATTTTAATTATTTTTTTCATTATTATTTAATAATTATTTTGTTATATTATTAATATTTTTTTTAATATTATTAATATTTTAATTTTAATATTATTTTATTTATTTTTGCCCCCCCTCCCTGCTTGTTAGCTGGCCAGGGAGGGGGGCTCTCATTGACTGGTGGTCCAGTGGATAGGCTGTGTAGGAGGGGGGCTGGCAGAGAGCTGTAACTTACCTTTCCTGCAGCTCCTGTCAGCTCCCTTCTCTCTCCTCCGGTCCGGTCTGCTCCCCTGTCAGCTCCCCTGCAAGTCTCGCGGTCTGAGTGCTGCACGAAGCGGTAACGGTTCTCGTGAGACTTGCAGTGGAGCTGACCAGACCGGAGGAGAGAGAAGGGAGCTGACAGGAGCTGCAGGAAAGGTAAGTTACAGCTCGCTGCCAGCCCCCAACAGGACCGCCGGGCTTACAATGAGCCCGGCGGTCCTGGTCTGTATTATGGCAATGTAAGTTGCCATAATACAGACCTTGACTCGAGTATAAGTTGAGTGGGGGTTTTTCAGCACAAATTTTTATTTTATTTTATATTTTTTACGTATTTACATATTTATTTTATATTATATATAAATAGATATATAATGATAATTATATATATTTAATCAATATCATTCTACGTGTATTTTGATATTTATATATATATTATTAAAATACACTTAGACAGTGTATGTGTATATATATATATATACACACACACTTAGATCATATATATAATATATATGATCTAAGTATATATATGATCTAAGTATATATAATTGTATTTTACACTGTTTTAAACAGTTTAAAAAGAATTTCAGGTTTTAATTTAACCCTGCTCACACTGCACTGTGCTCTATGGGGATTTAAACCAGGTGTGAGAGGTGAGCCCGGGAATCAAATCATACCTGGGGCTTAGCAAGGTAATAGACCCTGCTAGCAAAATACTGCATGAGGGAAATTGTCGTCATACATCCTTAAGGGGTTAATGAGTTGTTACAAAAAAACAAACAAAAGCATACTGGTGACAGATGCATTCAGGAAAAAAAAGGATTTTTAAAATTATTGCTGAAGATAAAAGATTGCATGCAATATAGCCTAGCTGTATATTATTTTCTAATTAGTGTACAGTGCCTTGCAAAAGTATTCACCCCCCTTGGCATTTTTCGTGTTTTGTTGCCTCACAACCTGGAATTAACATTGATTGTTTGAGGACTTGCATCATTTAATTTACAGAACATGCCCACAACTTTGAAGTTGTTTTTGTTTTGTTTTTTTATTGTGAAGCAAACAACAAATAGGACAAAATAACAGAAAAGGTCAATGTGCATAACTATTCACCCCCCTAAAGTCAATACTTTATAGAGCCACCTTTTGCGGCAATCACAGCTCCAAGTCTCTTTGGATAAGTCTCTATGAGCTTGCCACATCTTACCACTGGGATTTTTGCCTATTCCTCTTTGCAGAACTGCTCCAGCTCCTTCAAGTTGGATGGTGTGCGCTTGTGAACAGCAATCTTTAAGTCTGACCACAGATTTTTATATTGGATTGAGGTCTGGGCTTTGACTAGGCCATTCCAACACATTTACATGTTTCCCCTTAAACCACTCAAGTGTTGCTTTAGCAGTGTGTTTGGGGTCATTGTCCTGCTGGAAGGTGAACCTCTGTCCTAGCCTCAAATCACGCACAGAGTGGTACAGGTTTTGCTCAAGAATATCCCTGTATTTAGCACCATCTTTCCCTCAACTCTGACCAGTTTCCCAGTCTGCTGAAAAACATCCCCACAGCATGATGCTGCCACCACCATGTTTCACTGTGGGGATGGTGTTCTTTTAGTGATGTGATGTGTTGGGTTTGCGCCAGACATAGCGTTTTCTTTGATGGCTTAAAAGTTTAATTTTAGTCTCATCAGACCAGAGCACCTTCCTCCATTCATTTTGGGAGTCTCCCACATGCCTTTTTGCAAACTCAAAACATGCAATTTTGTTTTTTGCTGAAAGTAATTGCTTTCTTCTGGCCACTCTGACATAAAACCCAACTCTATTGAGCGTATGGCTTATTGTCATCCTATGTACAGATACTCCAGTCTCTGCTGTGGAACTCTGCAGCTCCTCCAGGGTTACCTTAGGTCTCTGTGCTGCATCTCTGATTAATGCCTTCCTTGCCCAGTCCGTGAGTTCTGGTGGGCGGCAGTCTCTTGGCAGGTTTGCTGTTGTGCCATGTTTGATGGAGCTCCTGGGGATCATCAAAGATTTGGATATTTTTTTATTACCTAACCCTGACTTGTACTTCTCAACAACATTGTCCCTTACTTGTTTGGAGAGTTCCTTGGTCTTCATTGCAGTGTTTGTTTAGTGGTGCCTCTTGCTTAGGTGTTGCAGCGTCTGGGGCCTTTCAAGAAAGGTGTGTATATGACAGATCATGTGACACTTAGATTGCACACAGGTGGACATCATTTCACTAATTATGTGACTTCTGAAGGTAATTGGTTGCACCAGAGCTTTTTATGGGCTGCATAACAAAGGGGGTGAATACATAGCACATTCCCATTTTCTGTTTTCTCTTTTTAAAAAATAGTTTTGTGTATATATTTTTCTCATTTCACTTCACCAACTTAGACTATTGTGTTCTAAACCATCACATAAAATTTAGATTAATAAAACATTGAACTTAAGGCTGTAATGTAACAAAATACATAAACAGTCAAGGGGTGAATACTGTTGCAAGGCACTGTATATATAAATTGAAAAAAACAACAACAACAAACAAAAAAGAGTGTAATGCACACACTAATAAAGGGGGGAATACTTCCTGCAGGGTGCTCCAGAAAGGGAGGACAAATCCATGAAGACATAAAATGGAAGAAAAAAAATTTACAGGTACACCTGGGGTTTCTTCTAAAAGGCAAAAAAGTATTTTTTATTTGAAACAAAGAAGTGGAGACAACGTTTCTACTTCTCTCAGAGCCTTTATCAAGTGCCCTTTTATGTGAAATAAGTAATGACCCAGAATTGACTATCATTGTTCAATGTAAATGCCATTCAGCAAGTTACCTTTCAGGACGGAACTCTTCGGGTTCTGGCCAGATTTCTGGATTCATGTGCATCACATAAGCTGGGATCATTGTAACTGTCCCCTTGGGTATAGTAACACCATTTATGTCAAAACTGTGTTTAGCAACTCTTTCTATCCTTCCACCTGGTGGGTACATCCGGAGGGTCTCCTCAATAACCATATCTAGGTACTCCATCTGCATCAGGGTATCATAGGTAGGAGTGGCCTGCAGCAAACATTGAAATAAAACAGGTTATGTCATTAACTTAAGTAAATATAACCTTAAAATATCACATGAAAGTCACACTAATGTCTATAAATATATATATATCTATAAAACATATAATAAATATGTAGTATATAAACTGTCGAGTCAGAGCATTAGGTCAAATCACGAAAAGTCACTGAAAACAGTAGTTGCCACATTCATCATAATTCTTTGCAGCTTAAGCATAAACACTTGCATTAGGAGATTAATCTAATTGGTGGAATAATATGAATGAATCTTGAGCTTTTATCTTCTTTACAAAAGGGGGTTAACAAGAGGATCATTAGCTAATTTCCCAAATATAAAGTTTTACATTACCAAATGATAAAACACAGTCTCACTTTGTCTGGTAGGTATGAATCGATTTCTTTTTGCAACTTAAGCTGGACATCAGGGTGGATTGCTAGACTGTAAAACAGGTAGGACAGTGACAGACTTGTGGTCTCATATCCAGCAAATATGAAAATTAGAGATTGCGCCATTATTTCTTCATCTGTCAGAGCTGTGGAGAGAAACACATGAATGACATATTCCAGGTGTCAAAGCACAAACACTTAGTTAACTCCAAGACTGATTAGTCTCCAACCCAGTCTGCATTTGTATTTCCTACTAGTCTTGAAACTGACAGCTGATAACTTTTGTTTAAAATTAGCAGATTTCTTGAGATCTCATTAGCCGATTGAGAGTCTCTTAGACTGGGAGAGTTTACTTTTCTGCACAATATTCCCATGGTAGACACAAGGCCATGTCCGCCAGTTGTAGCTGGGTACAAAAGCTAACCTACTAATGTTCTATATATATATATTTGTTAGGTAAAGATTCACTTTCATCAGACTTCATGGGGAAGTTTGCACACAGCTTAAGATCCATAAGCGCTATTAAGTCCAGAAATGTGTGCCTTTGATTGAGAAGATAATGACCGTTGCCATGACTTCCTACTTGCATTCCGAGATAAAAGACTGTTTCTTTTGACTGCTACTTCTTTGTTCAATTGTGTAACAATCTCTATACAGTCCTATTATCTTTCACTGCATAAGATCATGCCATCTGCACAAACTAGTAGAGAAGTCAATTTTCCATTTCTTTGTCTGGTAAATAGACATAGGTCTGCTTTACTCTGAATTACGTTTTGTTCTATGAGCATTTTACAGTTTTTCATTCCATGCACTTGCAACTTGTTTGAGTCCACATATTCCTTAGTGTAGGTCTGTACTAGTAGACCTTTGTTTTAAAGGAACACTATAAGAGTTTCGGTTTGTGTGTGTGTCTGTCTGTCAATTAATGAGTATGTATGTCAGTGAGTGTGTATGTCTGTCAGTGTATGTCTGTCTGTTTGTGTGTGTGTGCGTCTGTCAGTGAATGAGTATTATGTCAGTGAGTGTCTGTGTGTGTCTGTCAGTGAGTGAGTGTATGTATGTCAGTGAGTGTGTGTCTGTCAGTGAGTGAGTATATGTCTGTCAGTAAGTGTGTGTGTGTAAGTGAGTGAGTGACATGAGGGGGCAGCAAAATGGATCTTTGCCTAAGGCGACAGAAATCCTTGCACCGGCCCTGGCTAGTACATGTCCAGAAATAAAGAATTGGGTGTTAGTTCCATTGGGAACTGTGTGTCCTGTCTGGTTTGTTCAGAGATCCCAGTAACAGATTTCAGACTTTTTGGCTGGCTGCACTGGTCCCTGATCCCCGGGACAAGTTTAAAAAGCAGAAGGCCTACGAGCCACAAGTGTCTTTGTAAAGGCAGTAGTTGGAGGCAGTGTAGGCAGAGGTGTCAATACCTGCCTGGGAGAGGAACAGAAGAGACAAAGGCAGAGGGGATGATACCTCCCTGGAAGGAGAGAGCTAGAGCCTACTTTCTCATATCCAACAATGAATACTATGTCAGTTCTGTTGCCAAGTTTGGACTTGTTATGATCTGGAACAAATGCAAGAACTTTGGACCCAAATGCGTTTAATGTTAGAGGTTCTGCCAAACCAAAGTTCTCACAGAGTTCTATTTGTAGTTTTTGTAGATATGTAGCTGTCACTACATCAGCCCAGTATTTATGCGGTAGCTGTGAATCTGTCAGCATGCGTCAGACAATAAATTAAAGGGTGATTATTTCTTTCAGCTACACCATTCTGTTCTGGACTACATGAAAGTGTTCTATCCCTTTTTATTCTACATATGCAGTAACTTACTATTCTACATATGCAGTAACGTGGTGGGATGTGTACTCACCACCATTGCAGAGGCTTTATTGAGTTTCTTTGATTCCCTTTGGGAAAATGTTGTCTTGTACCTTTACCTATTAGACATCATTCTATGTTTCTCTGTTGTGACCCTTTTGGCAAGCTTTTATTACGTCTATTCCTTTTGTCAAACCTTTAAAGTAGATCAGAAATTGGCTTGAAGTCCAAGTCTTTTATGCCACATGCAGATACAGTTTGAGCAATTTGTGGCTATGCTCACCTTTTCTTCTTGTAGTGCAAATACAAAGTTTCAACTTTTAAAACCGCGTTCATACAAAAAAAACATTTTTAGTTATTTTACATTTATTGCAAATAAAGTTCACATTATATCCACTCTTTGTTAATACTGAAACACTGAGCCAATTACTATTATTATAAAATTAAAATAAAAGTGAATAAATTACATTTTGCACTTTGTTGTTTAACTTTACCGCTTTTGCAACACATTTTAAGAAACTGTTTCCTCGTCCTTGTATAAACAGTTTGTTACCATTAGAAATGCTCTTCTTTTATGTAAAATTATGGTTTAATTTTATGAAGACATTTGATTCTCTGCATATGTACGATGTTTCATGTGAATAATTAATCCAACAATTGTTGATTGTTGAACTGTATCTGCCTTTTCTTGAACAATGAAATCATTTTTACTGTTCTCTTCTGCCATGTAGAGCCTTTTTGTGGTAGATTTTTAACCCCTTAAAGACACATGACATGTGTGACATGTCATGATTCCCTTTTATTCCAGAAGTTTGGTCCCTAAGGGGTTAAAGCAGTTTCTAGCATAATTTGTTTTATCTGGACAATAAAACATTATTTATTTTTGCCCTGCATTGCCTCTATGTATTGCCTTGGCTGCTGTGAAAAGCTGAGCTGTTTCTCCGTGATATGATTCTCAGTTGTTTTGTATTGTAAATGCTTGTGTTTCACAACACTTTTGAACTTTCAGTTCCCCTTACGGCTCTTCTTTGACACATGCTGAAACTGATTTTAATGAGAGATGTTCTCTAGTTTATAGTGCATGAATTAATGAACTATAGCTTTCTGGATGGCTTGATTATATCAGAATCACTTTGTTTTCTTCATCAAATTTCTTTCCATTAGAATCCGAATGATCAGTTAACTCTGACATTTGATTCAAAAGTTTCTCTAGGTCTCCTCTGTCAAACAACTACATTGAACGGTCTTCTTGACAAATGAAAAGTGTTTAATTTAGACTGCTACTTCCATATAATTCTTCTCAGTCTTCCCACAACTCTTTGCCTGTCTTAATGTTTTTAAGGTGTCACAAATCACTGTTAATCACATAAGTGGATATCTCAGCTCTTGCTCTTCTGTCCTTTTTCTTCCTGTGAATTTTTTCTGCGTCAGCTGCTGGTGGAGACTCTTCCACTCTGTCTCAGAAATCCTTTCCCACAAGCTTATTCTGCATTCTGACTTCCCAAACCTGGTCGACTTGTATCATTTGTAGTTGTGAGAAAAGTGACAGCAACTCCCAAATCATTCATATCAGCAATGCATGTGACCATCCTTGTAGATTCTACTCTGGGCCCATATCCCAAATGTAGAAATTTAGCAGAGTTTTACTAGCACAGCAGCAGCATGTAGAAGTCAAGGCAGAGAAAAAAAATTGAGATCTCAAAGACAAAATTACTTCATAAGTAGAAAGGGGAGAAAGTGAGGAAAGACATGAAGGTACTTCCAGCACCACAGAGTATAGTACATAGTACCTCCCCACCCACTCTTAACTCACAGTGCCCAATTGGTTGTATGGATTCACAGTGGATTAATGAAAAGGTGAAAAATATAAAAAAAAATATTGGGAGTGGGAGGCTGTAATGCAAGCATGTCAAACTTAAATTCTAGCATTATCCAAATAAACAAGGTTTAAGTTCATGTGGGCTGCAAAAAAAACAAAACAAAACTAAACTGTTCATAAAAACGTAGATTTTGAAAAGTACAGTATAAAAAAACCCCAGCAGACACACTCACTGACAAACACACTCACTGACACACACACTCAGACTGACAGACACACCCAGACTGACAGACACACACATTTAAACATTCTTCCACACACTCACCTCATTCCCTGGGGTCCAGTGGGGGTCTTCTATCTGGAAATCTCCTTCCTGCTCCTCACGTGCGCAATTTAGTGATGCCGAATGCTGGAATATGACTTCATATTCCAGCACCTGGCATCACTACAGACGGCGCACGCGAGGGAGCAGTGAGGAGCAGGAAGACTGAGCGCCATCGCTGCTGCTAGCGTCCTGCTTCCTCTCCAGCCTGGGAAATTTTAGCAGAGTAAGCACCTTCAATGTGGAGAAAGCAGGTGCCTACTCTGCTTCAACACTAAGCATGTACTCGCCGCTCGCCGGGCCGCAAACATGTTCATTGGGGACCGAATGCGGCCCGTGGGTTTGACATGCTTGCTGTAATGCATTTATTTAGTTTTGACACTTTTATGAAGGTGCTAAGATGCTTCCTCCCATTTATTAGACAGCCAGGAGGTTTCCCTTTCTGATAGTTTTGTGCTCCAGCACAAATTTGAAGACTCTTGCCTGGGAGATCAGGATAGATAATCTCTAGGCGGGTAGAGCAGAGATAAACTGTCTCAGAACTGGATTGGAGGTAAGGTAACCCTTGTTTTAAAGAAAAGGGGCCAAAGGGGACCAGGAGTTTCATCAACACTCCAGTGTTATAAATAAATGCATTTAATTAAAATGCTGCTCCTTTAAGCAATTTATATTTTATTTTATCAGACCACAAATGAGGTATTTTAATCCGAATACTTTTATTTAGCATACATTTAAACTTTGCACTTACATGTAAAAAATCACATAATCCTACATACCTTTTTGTTCGCCACTTAAACTAGTAACATCTGTTGTTCTAGAATCCAACATCAGCTGCAGGAAATCCACACGGCCCTGGAAGATACAGAGAAATCCATGGAAATACATTAAAACCTTGGACAATGTCTATGATACCTCCAATTTGTTGGTAACCTAGTTACTACTTGCATTGATGTTTTAAATAAAAACAAATGTACTATTCAAAATTCTGCATCAGATTGCATATTTAATGGTGAAGCAACATACATCATTTTATTTGCAAAATGTTCCCTTGTCCTGGGTTGTGTGAAATTGTATATGTAAATACTGGTTTCCTCAGAAAGCATGCACTGTGTTCTAACATCTGTTAAATGATTAAACACAACATACCAGTTACAAAATTGTTATTTAGCAAGTTTATTTTTGCTAAAATACTAGGGAGATATTCCCCACATCTATTATTTTTTTCTCTTTCACCTTATATGATCTGAATGTACTCTGAAATGAGTAACCTAATGTACGGATTTTGTAATCTTCATTGTTGACATTGTCTGTGATGTCACATATGTAGCTAAAGTCTAAAAAACTAAATAAAAAGTAGCTGCAACACTGTAATATTCCATATAGCTTGTTGAGGAGTTTGATGATAAAATTCAAGAAATTAATGCACTGTTTTCTTAATTAGGTATACCCTGTTGTGTGAAGAGTGTACCTCATGATCCCTTTATCCATGTGATAACAAGTGTTGTGTAGTGTTATGTACCAGTCTTTTTTTTTTTTTATAAAATACCATCACATTTCACTGCACTTTTCCACATAATAGTATATTAAAACCTACAATTAAAATAAGACTTTGTTTTATAGTTGGTATATATACACAGAAAACAGTTGTCGTCTAAGTAAATTATTGGTTATTATTATTTATATTGGGATTCATATAGCGCAAACTTATTCCTCAGCTCTTTACAATATTACAATAATATACTGATAGACAATAAGCCAAAACGTTCTGACTTAATAACTAATTACCCCTTGTACTCTCTAATTAAGCTCTGTTGGAATTGTTTGCTTATTGAAGTTGCCTAGTTGGTTGTATGGATTTTACTGTTAGGGCTAGAGAACATAATCCTAAAAAAAAAAAAAATATGTCCTGCCCTATGATGCTGTGCAGAGAAAATTGAATATAGAAACAAAACTGGATGGACTGGCTGTGAATATAATAAAGTTAATGTAAAGCTGATTTTATACGCTGTGCAAATGCTCTTACTGCTTCTATTTCTCTAACAGCCCCAAATATTTTTTTCTTTATGTGGCAGTGTGGCATATACCCTTTCTGTTGCACTGACTACATGCACCTCTTTCTCTGTCCCAGGTTGTATACCTGCAACATTTAGCTACCAGCTAGTAAGAAGGGAAGGAGAGGACAAGTAACTCCTGAGGGGAGAGAATGTAGAGTTTGTGATTAGTGAAAGATAGAAGTTGAATGCTGTGGGCTTTGATGAACAGATAGACTGGCATTTCTCTCTTCCATCTCAAAACTAAGTGTCCCTCTAGTACCACCTCCATCAGGTACAAAACACTCGGGATGTATGACTCATAAAGTGCTTTCCTTCAGAGATTCTTTAATTGGACCCATCTTCATCAGGCCCATTAGGCTCCTAAACCAGCACGGTTTACACTTTACAGTGTCACACTTGTTGCTAATGGAAAGCCTGAGCTATTACTAGAGATTATATCTAAACACACTGCATCACGAAGAGTGTGGAGTTGTCAATATATAGAAAATAATTCAAAGCATGAGTTTACTAAGCTAACATAACTATTGGGTTTTTTTGGCTATGGTTTTGCAGTTGATATTGTGGCAACATTACTTCTTAACTAAGGACTCTTTGTTGAGGTCACTGCATATTATCACCGTGTACAGTTTGCAGACAGTTGTCAAAGGAAAAAGTGACAGGACATGTCAAGATGTTAGGGAGCCTGAATAACCGCACTGTCAGTATATTTATACTGGCAGACATTTTGTGTTAAGACAAATTAAAAGTGTATACTGTAAGTCACTATCAGAACAGAGGTGACTCCATTTTGTATTACAATGCAAAGACAGATACAAAATGTTTCTCTCTGTAAGTCTATTCATTCAAGCCTGAGCTAAGGAATGTAACTTATATAAACAGAGATAAGGCATGATGTCTACAGCAATAAGAGGTTAAATGTAACAACCCAGAGATAGATATAGATATATATAAGTAGTGGGCAGAATACACTGACCCTAAGGAGTGGAGAAAATGGATGGATAAGGGATAGCAGCAGACAGGTAGGAAATCTCTACTAGTAAAAAATAGCCCCCATAAAAGCTAAGAGAAAAAAATGAATAATAGTAGGTGAAAAAGCCTACACGTACTAGGAGATCTCTAACCAGAAGCTACAAACTGGTAAGAATAATCATATAGTAAAATAATCTAAGCAGAACGTGAAAAGCTCTGAAATATGCAACATGGACCACTTATCAATACATAAAATGGTAGAATGATATAATACAAAATACAAAAATCGTGGAATACTAAAACCAAAAGAAGGTGATAGTAATATAGATGTACACTAGGTGGCAGCCTTGTATCAGAAAGATCCTAGGTATAGGGGGAATATTCACTAAACAACTAATAATCTTAATGTATTGAAAAATGGGAAAAAGACCTTAGGATTAGGATGTATTAACACAGTGTCTGCAAAAATATGTAAAAATGGATGGTCCAAAACAACTAAATAGTCCAATAAAAATCCAAAACGATGGAAAAATAAAATACTGTCCAATAAAGTCTTTAACAGAAAAAGTTCTTATAGTGCAAAGATATCAATATCACATCCCACACAGTATGCTTCTGCTCAATAGAAATAACAGTAGCAGTAAAGTGTCAAGTTGTGAATATAATGTAACCAGTGTTGGTTATATATACATACACAATATCCACATATAACTTACTATAAGCATATTAATCATATATAAATAGTACTATGTTAATAACATAGAATATTCATGGATATAATATCAATGAAGAAATGTCATTATTTACTAATGTTAGTGGAATATGCATAACAGACATGTATAAAAAAGAAAACCAGACACCAGATAACACTAAGTAATTAATTTTACTTTCCAAAAACTAACGGAATCTTACAAAGTTCCATTGTAAGGAAAGGTGAAATTAAAGTTAGGACGTGTCAGGAATCTAACGTATAGCCAAAAGGCAGACACAAGTCTGGGTAAAAGTGAACCAAACGCTTTAAAGGCTGACAGCTTCTTTGATGAATAGGAGCCATAAAGATAACCAAGATGACGTCAAATGCATCATGAAATTCAGTTAACCCATTATACAAAAATGTAAATGGACCCCCTGACAAGAATTTTCAGTGATGTAATTGCGCCATCTACTGACCAAAATCTAGATGATAGCCTGTGATGTAATTGCGCCATCTACTGACCAAAATCTAGATGATAGCCTGTAGATAAAACATGCCCACAATTCTCTATTGGTGATGTATAGAGACTTCTCTTTGAAAAATTAAGGACAAATGAGAGAAAGCAACACTCTTACACCCTCACTCAAACTCCCATCTAAGATCTGACATCTGGAGCCAAAGCTGGACACCTAATTCTTTGTATCATTTTCAACTAACACAACTTCAGAACTCTATTTTCATACAATTCTCTCATCATACTTGCATTCAAAATTCCTGGGATATTTCTACAACATAACTGGTAAGTATGCTGGTTTAATTTAATTTAATTTAATTTAATTAAATTAATTGATTTTACTAAAAGGCAGAATATACTTGGATAAAAGCTGGTGATTCCAAACATTAAGGAGTCATGATTTGTTAATAATATATAGAATTCATCCTGCTGTCCCCGATTGTTTTTATCCTATGCTTGGAACCACTCTTACGCCAAATAAACCAGAACACACAAATTCCAGGTTTTGTTACCACGGGGGGTTTGAAAAAAATTAGCGTTATTCGCGGATGATATTCTCCTGTTTCTCCAACAACTTCAATTCCGAAGCTACTAGAAATCCTGAACACATATGGTAGAATCTCCTATTATAGAAACAATACAGTCAAAACCCAAGCTTTACCCATAAGTCTCCCTCAAGCCGTAGTGACCCAGCTAGAAAATCTATACACATTTGACTGGAGAAAAAAAAAAAGTCCTATCTAGGGGTTTAATTGACTAAATCCCTCCATACAATTCCAACAGAAAACCACTATCCATTGTTACACAAGATAAAAACCTCACTGGTAAGATGGGCTGAATTAGAAGTTTCTTGGTTGGGTCACATAAACTCTCTAAAAATGATGATCCTTCCTTTCATCCTTTACCTATTTCGTACGTTGCCAATATCACTGCCTACCAAACTTATTAATCAATTTCAATCTACCATTAATGCACATGTGTGGAAACGAAAGCCACCTCGAGTGGCATACCATAATTTAGGGCTCCCTTATATCAAGGGAGGGCTGGGATTACCAGAAATCAGGGCCTATTATAGGGCCACGGCGCTAGCTCAAGGAATACGCATTTTGCGACTCTCACATACGGAACCCCGCCCGCTTTGGCTGTCCCTAGAGAATGCATGCATAAGTCCACACAACATTGCTAGCTCCCTATGGTCCAACATGATGCCTCCGGTCAAGTGTGCCCATATGCTACACAATTCCACATTTCTAGTACAAGCCTGGAGATCCTGGAGTTCAACCATTATTAAACCCGACACCCTATTCCATTCTGCACTAATTGTGGTGCTGATGAGCATCTTCCCCAGACCTAACGATTAAACCGTGGGTCACAAAAGGTATTCAAAAGGTGAATGATCTATTAGAGGGGGATAAAATGAAACCATTCCCAGTGCTCCAAAAACAATACTCGCTACCACCGAGAGACCTATTTTTGTACATGATAGTAAAAAACAATGATTTCCAGGTTAGACACAACACACGATGTACTTCCCGAAGCGGTAGTGAATGTACCCTCAATGCTTTCAGCCAAACACTTGAAACCTCTCTCTCTATGTTACAATGCTCTTCTCCAGGGGCCTGCAAAAGACAAAATGCCCTATATGATCCAATGGGAGAATGAGCTGGGGTATGAGTCACATTGGCACGAAGCTATGTCAATTACTAAACGAGCCTCAAGGAGCTTATCACTCTGCGAAGCCTTCTGTAAAATCACCATGAGATGGTACCTGGTGCCATACAAGTTATCGCGGATCTATAAGGAGGCATCAGAGCTATGCTGGAGATGCAAAACACAGATAGGCACTATGCTACACACATTTTGGGATTGTCTGGCCCTGGGAGAATACTGGGACCGGGTGGGGAAATTTATCTCTGATACCACACTCTATAGAATACCAAAGAAGCCAACCAGCTACCTTCTGCATATCATCCCTGGGCTGATACACCACCCCAACCACAAAGTATTACTCATCATTCTCACAGTAGCTAAGATAAACTTGGCGTTCCACTGGAAGACCACGACGATCCCCTTGTTAGATACTCTCATACAGAGGTTGAATACGATAAGTATTTACGAGAGAATGGTTAGCAAAACACAGGGTTGTGTAAGTAGGTATGTGAGAGATTGGGAATGCTGGACCACAAATATTGGAAAGGCACAGGACAGCAATGCTAACAATGAGGAAACTAATAGGAATAAATACCGGTAGCTTATAGGGCACCACTTTTGTGTGACTTGAATGCCAAATAAACATATTCCTAAAAAAAAAAAAATTATATATATAATATTTTCGATATATGTACTTTTTAAAAATATTTTTTGCATCACTACTCGTCATTTGCTCCTGCCCTATGATGCTGTGCAGAGAAAATTCAATATAGGAACTTGGGAGGGATGCAGAGGAACAAAACTAGATTACTTCCTTCCTTGTCCTCTTCTCCTCTGGCCTCACAGTGCGGCTCCCCATAGTGGATTCCTTACATTAACCCACTGTGTGCTGACATAAAGTCAGTACTCCTCATATCGATATTAGAATTTTATACAGTCTTCAATCAAATTTAACTGCTGCATGCTAATAAAAGTTTTAGAGCTCACCGAGTGATCTCCTTTCTTACTTTTACACGCATGCTTTAGCTTTTATTTTCTAATGGACTCAAGTTACAAACTCCTATTTTCCTTTTTTGTATAGTGTGAGTGCTACAGAATGAGAGCCTGGCGCTTAAAATGACCATTATTATACAGTAAGTGATCGTAAAGCTTTGCATTGTTAGCACTCACTTGATTTAGTGGCAATCCACAAACCATCAATTTTTTCTTCTACTTTTTTGGTGCCACAGGTGGAACTCTGAATCATGAATCAAACGTCCATTATCTGGATTAGTACATCAGAGTTCAGGAATTCCGGAGACCCGCCAATTAGACAAAAAAAATGGATGAATTGCAATTCATTTGAAATCAAATGTGCAAGTCTACAGTTTTGTGTGTCCTTCTTCTACACATAGAGACTGGAAACATAAAAGATGCTACTAGTAACTGGAATGGTGCGGTTTAGTTTCACCCACTTAATTTCTGATTTAGCCCAAAAAGTGATAAAGGAAAGGGCAGCTCCATAACTAAAGTATCAGCCTACTATATTTTGGGGAACTGATGACCTACTTACTTATGCCTGAAACCTGTATTCCTGCATCCACAGATAAGCATAGCTGAAGGTTTTGTGTAAAAGACATAGTCAGTTCAGTCCTAGAAAACATCACACATGATGTGGCCCCTCCTCAGGAGTCCAATAACACACTAGCTTCTCTGCACCTAAATGTGCTACTGGTCATAACTGATTATTACAATATAAATATTTATATTGTAATAGAGAGTCTGCTACACTACATTAAGAAAGGGGGGACTGCATCAACTACTACTGCTTTGGAATCTTTTTGAGCAACTGTGCTATGGTTTGTTTGGATTCGTACAAAAACCCCCGTGGCTTCATGAGGTTCCAATAATGTTCTTTAAAAACAATTTTTTTTAAAGTTTTATTGGTCATCTAAGAATTTAAACAACAGTATGAAAACATCCATTGGGTGACTTTGTCAGATAATTTCCTTAGAGGTTGCAATAGTTGTCTACATACATTAGTATACATATACATAAAGGCTCTGCAAGTAGTACAGAATACAACAGTGAGTTACATAGCATATCTCCGCATATATGTAGGAGTGCGTCTGTAGAGATTTACTTAATCGCGGTGAGGGTTCGTCTATGTGTCTAACCCATATCAGCTAGAATTGTATTAGCTTATCAGATAAGGAGGCTCAGTGTGATAGGTCCGGCATGGAGAATGTAGATATCATGGAGTACTTCCCTAGGACTAGTGGATATATGTTAAGAGTATTCTTGCTCCATCATAGTGAATATTTGCAATTTAAGGATTATATGACCAACCCTCATCGAAACTGTACAATTGTAATGTAGGATGGTTCCTGTGAGCCCTAATTATGTGAACTCAGTGGATGACATAACTAACGTTTGGGATTATAGACATTTCTAACATATTAAACTCAGAAACTAGCCCAAAAAGTGCCCGGTGCTGCCAGGAGGGTGAGGGTTCATCAAGAATATACATAGTTACATAGCTAAAAGGAGACTTGCGTCAGTCAAGTTCAGCCTTTCTCATTTGTTTTTTGCTGTTGATCCAAAAGAAGGCAAAAAAAAGTTTGAAGCACTTCCAATTTTGCAACAAACTAGGGAAAAAAATCATTCTTGACCCCAGAATAGCAGTCAGATTTATACTTGGATCAAGCAGCTATTACACTACATTGAAAAAATATATCCTTGAATATTCTGTTTTTGCAAGTTTGCATCTAATTGCTGTTTGAACATCTATATGGACTCTGATAAAAGCACTTAACATACCTTATAGCTTACAAATAAAAGGTGCATTGGGAACGATATAAGAGGGATACCTCATTCCTTCTCCGACTGCTATGATTGAGTGAGTAGTTCCGTCTATAATAGTTTGTTAGTAAGTATGTATATCTCCCAGGTTGCTTCTCAGCAGCCTATGCCACTTCTCATCAGCGAGACTAGAGGACTGCGGGTAGTCGTGGAAAGGAAATGACATGTGATCTAGAATTCCACGAGTGTTAGCGTGATTTGGAGGTCTGCAGCCCATGATGATGTGAACGTGGGTAGCTGGTCTTTGTATTCAAGTTGTAATAATTTATAGAATGTAGAGAGATGTTTAGTCTTTACACTGCGAGTGTGGCACTTTGTTTCAAAGTCAGAGTAAGGACGGTCCCCTGTCAGTATTATCGGTTCTGACTGTATGAAGTGCAAAAGCAGGGCATAAAAAAAAAAAAAAAAAGATTCCAAAGGTGGTGGCTGTCCCTTGTGCACTATACTAGGTAATAGTTTTAGGGATTTATCTTCCAAAAGTGAGCATAAAGTGAGGTATTTAGAGTTAGGTGGTTTAAATGCAGTGGTTTGGAGACCAGGTGGGAAAAGGGGATTATGCATCATGGGGTAGAGAGGAGATGGGTGTGGGAATCTGTTAGGTGATTTTCTAATGTGGTTCCAAAGTTTAAGGGTTGGTATGATGATTATTGGGTGTGATTGGTTTTGTGGACGTAGGTATTTTCTACCATTTCCGTGTCAGGGCACAGTATATAGTGGTATGTGAAACATATCATTTTCCAAGTCAACCCATTGTTCATGTGTTGATGGACCTGTCCAGTCATATATCCTCATTAAAGTTATTGCTTTGTGATATATTTCTACGTCTGGAAGACCTAATCCACCCCAGAATTTGTGTCGAGTTAAGGTGTGGAAAGCTAGCCGTGGGTGTTTACCGCCCCAGATAAATTCCGAGATGGTTCGTCTGATAGTGGAGAAGAATGATTTAGGTAACATAATGGGTAAGACCTGTAAAAGATATAAAATTTTGGTAATGTATTCATCTTTAATATGTTAATTCTACTAATCCAGTTGAAATGTGGTTTGTTCCAAGACACAAGGTCTTGTGTCAGATTGTGGACCAGTGGAATATAGTTTAGTTCGTAGACACCGAGTATTTGACCGCTAAATTAGCCCATGTGACTTAATTCCGTAATGTGGCCGTGATATGGTCAGTCATATGTAATGGTAGGATTTCACTTTTGGAATAGTTACTCGAAAATTAGATATATGATTATATAGGGTTAGTGCTTCATCTAAGGGGGCCATAGAGGTTATGGGATCAGAAATTGTAAAGAGTAAGTCATCCGCAAAGGCAGAAACCTTATACTCCCTTTGGTTGCTTACTACACCTCGAATGTGTGGATGGTCTCTGATGCCCTGTAAAAAGGGTTCCAGGATCACAATGAATAGCAGTGGAGAGAGGGCACCCCTGTCTTGTGCCATTCTGTACTCGCACCGGTTTGAAAAGTTGGCTGTTAATGCGTAGTTTAGCAGTGGGGCGAGAGTATATGGCTCCTACCCACTTCAACCAATTAGGCCCAAATCCAAAGGCGCAGAGTGTAGCAAATAACATTACCCCCAGTCCACCCTGTCAAAAGGCCTCTGTCGTGCAGATATCTGATAGGTATGTGTACTTGAGGTGGTATCAAGTGTAGAGTCTCGGGAGATATTTAGGTCACCCCCCATAATTAAGATGCCTTCCGCAAAATGATCGATAGACTGTATGCAGCGTCTTATGGATTGACATTGCCGTCAGTTAGGTAAGTACATCTTTACAAAGGTCACCAGATTATGGCCTATGAGTCCCTTAACCATCACCACTCTACCATTGTCAAAACTTTCATGTTTTACATATGTGAACGGGACCTGTGCAGAGATTAAAATGGCCACTCCCTGTGTTTTGGCCTCCGTGAAGTTACTGAAATATGCGGTGGTGAATTTACAGTTAGAGAGCTTGAGAGCTGAAATTTTTTTTGGAAATGCATTTCTTATTAAAAGGCAACATCTGCTTTGAGTTTGAGTTCTGTAAGGGTTAGGGAGCATTTTTCAGGAGAATTTAAGCCTCTGACATTCAGAGAGACCAGTCAGAAAGTAGCCATTGTAGATTTAACAATAAGTGCATCTTACTCCCCTCAGGTCCCCAGGCAGCAGCTAAGAAACACAAATTCAATAAACTATGTACATAAAGACATAAATAAAACAGTGTTGAGTAGTTCAGTAAATATGACATATGTGCATTCCCTGTACATGAAAATCGTCGGTGTCTGTCCCTGTTTGGGGTCGGGTGAGGAGGTACAACAGCTCTTAAACAATACTTATCATTAACGAAGAATGTTCAAGCGGAAACAAAATTATTATTTTTAATTTGGGGGTGGGGGGGAGAAAGAGGACTGGTATTCAGAGCTCGGGGGTACGGAATATATCATTGAGGTCAGAAAATCACAACCTAGGCATCAGGTTTAAATGTTTAGATTCATAGTGGGCTATGGAGGATAGTCCAGTGTGACCGGGTTTAGGGTCAGTAATGGACTCGTGAGAATTGGGCACAATGATTGGTTTTCAGATCAGGTCGAATGAGGATGAGCCTGTTCAACCTTGGTGGGTTGAATAATGAGGTTACTATAAATGGAGTATAAGCATAATATATTCTGTATGGGGTGTCATAACATCCGCTATTTGGGTAATAATAGGAGTGTAGAAGAGGGATAAGAAGGGGGAAGCAGGATCCGCTATGGGCTGGGGTCAGAATTTGTAATGATTTTAAATTTAAAACAGCTGGCGCCACAACAATAGCAGTGCAACAAACATTCCCCCCTGTCATTGCTTGAAAGGGGTGAGTCAGCAGTACAGTCCCTGGGGACAAGCATGCGGTAGGTGCTCAGTGTCAGAGTTATGTAGTGGGGTTCCCAATTCCCTCGCAAATATTATAACATGGACATATAGCAGAAAAAAAAAAAAACTGGTATAAATAAGCTTAGGGCGTAAGAGACGTATCGTGGTAAATATGTAAAGCAAACGCAGAGATAGATGCAGAAAAGAGTAAAGCGATAGAGAGATTTTTATTTTATGTTTTTTTTTGTTTTGGGGGGACAGGTTGGTCGTTGCGGACGGAGGGAAGAGAGGGGACTGAGTGAAGAGAGGAAACAGGAGAGGGACGGAAGTAAAGAAGAGGCAAAAGTGAACAGAGTGTGTATACAGGACTGAGTTCAATTAATCTTACGGCACGGGTATCACACTTGAAGGTTGCACCGGTATGGCGGTGATCAGGTGCTGGATATAAAGGTAAAGTCCAGGTCCAATTAACTGGAAAGGAGTGAGTATGGATGGTTCGAGATAATCTGCTTTGTCAGACCTTCATCCCAGGTGCTTGTTGTGTGGGCTGCTGTATTAGCGTGGATGGTTAGTGGTGCACTGCTCTTCCCCTCAGGGAGGATGAGATTGATTCTGATGCCTAGGGCTTACAATGGACGGGTGTGTATCCGTTTGGTCCCGAAAGGAAGGCACCTGATTTATCAACCGGTGTCTCGCCGGACGCTTTTTGGGACAAGCAGCTTGTTTGGGGTGACCCATTTCTATTTTTTATGCCCGATGGTTGCGGATTGTGTCCTCTGAAGCTCAGAGCTCCGTTAGAATGTGGCCATACAGGTCGGTGGTTGGCTCCGCCCCCCAATAATGTTCTTTTGGCAATGCAAGTTGTAAAGCAAGAGTGACAGGTATTGCACTAGACAGGCTAGACTAATGTATGTGGCCCATGGGTGTTAAGTACAGTTGAAAAGCTAATGAACTGTACCCAAACACTCCACTGCTTGTACTCACTATCTAGCGGTATTCTTTACTGTGCCATCTCTTCATAAACATACTGATAGTAGGAAGTTACACGAACTATAGTTACATTACCTCACTGGTGCTTTGTGAGTGAAGGAGCATGCCAGCTTACCCCTGCACTGCTAATTTCTACCTCGCTGCTCCACTTTAGACCCGGGAAAACAAGGTTTTAAATCTGGTCAGACCACCTCCTCAGTAAGTGTCCCAGAGCAAGACACCTAACCATCTATATCTGCCAATCTTCATAGATTGTAAGCTCGTTTGAGCAGGTCCTTCACTTCTTTCCTTCTCTATAACTGTAAAGCGTTGCTGAATATGTTGGCGCTATATAAATACTAAAACTATTATTAATAACAGCTAAATTGGAAACATTCTCAAATTCATTCTTGGTCACAATGAATGCCCTGTAATCAATGAGTGCCATCAGTACTATGCTATCTGTGCCCTCACCCCACTGTAAAAATATGCTATACTCAGTGAGTGTCATCTGTACTATGCCATCTGTGCCCTCACCTGGCTGTATGAATGGGATGTGCGCAGTAAGTGCCATTCGTGTTCTCACCTGGCTGTATGAATGTACTGTAGCCAGCGAGTGTTGTCTGTCCTATACATAGGCGTGCGCAACCTATTGCATTAGGGTGTGCACCCTAAAGCACAAGTACACGCCGCGTATATATATGTATGTATATATATATATATATATATACATATATATATACACACACATACACTGCTGTGTGTGTGTATGCTGTGTGAGGGTGCTGGTAGTGTGCTATGTGGGTGAAGGTGTTTGTGTGTGTGTGCGCCTGTGAGGGTGCTGTTAATGCACTGTGTGTGAGGGTGCGGTTGGTGTCTGAGGGTACTGGTAGTGTGCTGTGTGTGTGTTTGTTAGGGTCCTGTTAGTGTGCTGTGTGTGTGAGGGTGCTGTTTGTGTGCTGTATGTGTGTGGGTGCTGTGTGTGTGGGTGATGTGTGTTCTGTTTGTGTGGGTGATGTTTGTTTGCTGTATGTGTGTGGGTGCTGTGTGTGTGCGCATGTGTGTGGGTTTTGTATGGGTCGGTGCTGTGTGGGTGGGTGATGTGTGTGTGGGTGCTGTGTGCGTGCGCGTGTGTGTGGGTGCTGTGTGGATGGGTGATGTGTGTGTGTGGGTGATGTGTGTTCTGTTTGTGTGCTGTATGTGTGTGGGTGCTGTGTGTGTGCTGTATGTGTGTGTGCGCTGTTGTGTGTGTGTGCGCTTTATGTTTGGATGATTTGTGGGGGTAGAGGTGGGGGCAGACCGTGCTGCTGCCTTCCCTGGTGGTCCAGTGGAGGTGGGGGCAGATTGCTTAATATCCCCCCTCCCTTGTTACCTTATGCCAGGGAGGGGGGATCCTTTCTGCCTTCCCTGGTGGTCCTAGTGGTTAGAGTGGCAACGCTCAGATCTTGCGAGAGGAACCCGGCGGAGCTGCTGGCAAGAGCTCCCCGGGTCCTCTCCTGCCTCCCTCCCTGCCTGTGGGTCGGTGGGGAGGGAGGCTGAGAGCAGAGCCGGCGCTTGGATAGCGCCAGCTCTGCATGAGCCGACAGGGGAGATCCTGAGATCTTCCCTGCCGGTCTCAATACATAGGCATGCCGCGGGGATTAGGGTGTACCCGGCACACCCCGTGCGCACGCCTATGGTCCTATACCTACTATGTTTCTGTGCCAGGCAGTACAAATGTGCCGTACTCCGTTAGTGCCAGCAGTCAGGCACTGTGTATTGCACTTGTATACATTGAAACTACAATTTCCACACAGATCTTACTCTTTCAGTACATGAAATTAGTCTAGCCAAATAGAATTCATTGCAGTAAGGGAATCAAGGAGGATACTAAGGAAAAACACTATCTCCTTACTGCTTCATAAATGTTATATACCACAGGCCATGTACTGGTTTTCTTTTCCCAAATTTGTGTATTTTTAGTTTTATGGTATGGACCAAAAGGTCAAATGGTTTACAGACATGGCATGTTATCATATGCCAAGGGTGGGTTCTTATACCTCCCCATCTTAAAACTTCACCAACTGCCACTTCCCAGTGCTCCCCATACATCCTTTATCATAGATCCTCTGATGAAGTGATCGTTGATCACAAAACGCGTTAGGCAGCATCTTCACATTGGTTCCCGAGAATCAGCATACTGGAATGCATCCAGAGCCGCAGTGGAACGCACGCGGCCGATATTGAGTGTTGTAGCAGCACGAGGAGGTCCGGACGCACTCCTACGCGGCCGGCAAGAGAGTGACCCCAACATCTCTGGACCCCCGGTCTGTAAACCTGATATCTATTTGCTTGCACATCTGGGACCTTTGCAATATATTAGTCTTTTATATATATATATATATATATATATATATATGTGTGTGTTTTTTGTTGACAGTTACATTTGTACTAATAAATAATTTAATCGGTACACTGTCTGCTGCACTATATAATTGACATAAGGATTTTAACCCCTTGTGGGACAAGAAAAAATGTCTTCTTTACTACAGTCTGATTTTATAATATGATTATTACATGTACTGGTTCCTCACTTTACAAGTTATAGAACCTTTACTAGACTAACATCCAGCAGCTTTGGATCCTACCTACCTTTCATCGTGGGGGGTAAGGAACTGACTAGCTGATACAGTTATATCAAGGACTTGTTTGAATACATTTTTATTATTTTTATTTACAACCTGTATTTCCATTTCCTCTGAATCCTGTCTACTATATTGATCTATTTCAATAGGCACTCAGAATTTTGACATTTTTTAACCCAGAGTGGTGGTTATTTCAGACAGTGATACAGTGGTTGTGGTAGTTTTATTTAGTCTCTAATTTTAACTTAAGAAGGCTTCTCTACCATTTTTGTGTTTATCCATTGTAAAGTTTTTTCATTTATCCTTTATCATGGGGTTCTCAGTAGTTTAGAATGTTCAGAATCTCTTAAGTCCTGCTTGGAAACTGACTAGCATATTCAAAGACAGACAATTTGATAATATTTCCAGCTTTCTATCTGGTATAAGATTAATCTCACCGAGTGATCTCCTTTCTCACGCTTTTCTTTGAAGCTGGTGATCGCATTCATGAAAAAGCGCACAAAGTCTTTGGGAAAGAAGTTCACATTCAGCTTCTGAAGAATAGGTATCAGAAATGGGAAAAGCACTGAAAATGAAACATAAGATGTGTTAGAAGATCATAACACAAAACAATCTCTAGAGACAGAACAAGAGAGTCCAGCTTAACGTGCGTGCTTCTTGTTCTCATAAATTTCCTCTAATAAAAGTCTAGCAATTAAATTCTACTAGTTGTATAATCAAGAGGATAATTTACACAAGGTATAAACATTTAAAGCAAATTCAACCTCCAAAACTTGGGGCAATTAGTTTGTTGAACATGAATGTTAACTGAACAAAATTGCCTCTAAATTAAATGGTTTCTCCAAAACAGTATTTTCATAAAATCCATTTTTGGGGTGGTCTTCCCAGCCCAAAGACAAAGTACATAAAAAGAAAAGTCATAATCTTACATGGTCAGAGAGGATAAATAGAGGGTGGACGTAAGAGGTAGAGGAAGGTGCTTGGGCTGTCTGACGTCAAATATTTTGCACAGAATTGATATTAGCCAACCTGGAACTCTCCGGCAGCAAAGGGGTTTATTTCTGTTTGTGCAGCAAAGCTAAAGTTATTGAAGTGGTGATGGTGCATGAAGTCACCCTTTAACTCAATTAATTCTAGTACTTAATTGTGATAATTCAAAAATGATTCCCTGAGTATTTTCCACTTTTTCATCTGAAACAAATGAATGGCTTACTTGGTGCATAAACCTATGAGAGAAAAATGTAATAACTGTGCACTTTTAATCATTAGAATAATGCCCCTTGATTGCGTTCATGCCTTGACCTTGAGTGTGTCTAGTAGATGTTTAAATGGACGCTATAGTCACCAGAACAACTACAGCTTATTGTAGTTGTTCCGGTGAGTATAGTCAGTTCCTGTAGGTTTTTTACTGCAAACAATGTATTTTGAGAGAAAAGGCAGCGTTTACATTGAACCCTATGTATACCACCACTGGTCACTCCTCAGATATCTACTAGAGGTGCTTCCTGAGGCAGTGTTGCAAAATGTGCAGCACTGACATTTAGTGTCCCCACCCTCTGCATGGAGACACTGATGTTTCCTTATAGAGATGCAGTGATTAAATGCATCTCTATGCAGAGTTGCTGATTGGCCAGGATGGTGTTTGGCTCTGCCCCCACCCCGCCTCCTTGGAAATCTCAGCCAATTCAATATTCCTGGCATAGGTGCAGTCTCTGCATGACACCAGAAAAATAGATGTCATAAGCGTTAAAATACTGTAAAAGTAGAGTACCATAAATTTATAGTAAAAAAAATGTCACGTTAACCTTTTCTGTTTAAATTTTCAAAAAGGGTCGCCAGTACAAATAAAGTAGAGGAAGGGTCCCTGTCACGAACAGGAGGGGATCCTCGGCAAAATATAGGTCAACAACCTACCAAAGATAAAGCAGTTGTAATAAATAGGTGTTTTACTGGATATTAGAATGGCTGGGATTAACGCTTAGATAGAATTAGTAAGTATCAGCACTAAGAAAGTCAAAATAACAAAAAGGCCAGGGAAAGACAAAACTTTGGTTACTGTTCCCTTAGAGAGCCAACACTTATTAGGGTTTGTTTGTTTTTTGGTTTGTGAACACCCCAGGGATTCACTAGGCTAGCTTTGTATGGGAAGGGAGATAGATCATCAGTTTTGGTATGTTAAAAGTAACTTAAACCAAAACAGGTTCACTTTAAATTATAAACATACCATTAACGGTACACCTTTAAAAGAACACTATAGCGTTAGGATAATAACCTCTCCCCAGCGGTGTGAAGCAAAAGGGTAGTTTTATTTACCTTTTCTCCATCACCACATCTCTTCACGGCTGCCTTCATGGCTAAGATTAGCAATTCTAATGATCTCAGGCAATCTAATGCCTCCTCATATGGAGGCACTGGAAACAGCTAGGGCATATGTGCCCATATTGCTGCACCAGTCAAATGGTGCTCTAGGAGCAGCAATTGATTGAAAACATAGTTTGACTTGGTTCTCACAGGCAAACATCTCTAGTGGCAGTCAGCACAGCCAGTAGAGTTGTATAACCTTGTAATGGAAACATTACAGTTTCTACTAAACTGCAGTGTTTTACATTGCCGAATTAAAATGAGATGAAGTGGCCTGGATGCCTTTAGTGGTCATTTAATAAGAAATTTGGCCTGGAACAAAATGTATACACTGGTCATAAATAAGCAAAATATGAGAATTTTATAAAAACACTTTACCAGCAATGATGAGTACTGGACTGAAAAGGCCCACTTTTAGAACCTTCTTGATATGCATTACAAATGGATCATTAGGCTTGTTTAGGGAGTCGATATGGACACTGAATGAAGTGCTGGTGACAACATCCATGCTATAAGCGCCTGTAACACTAAAACATAATACAAATATATAATCACAGTATGTGTAACTTTGTAAATTTGATAGATGATGCAATTTCCTGTCTAGTTTAGAAATACTGACTTATTTATAATGAGTCACAAAACAGTGCCCTTAGAAATATTTAGCTAAAATAAAACAAACCAGGAAATTACTTTACTTGTGACTTTACAGTTGAGTAAGAAACTTTAAGCTAAAAAAGCAAGTTGGAAAAACAAAACAAAGAACACAAAAACTGACATTATTAACTGTTACTGTAACTACTAACGTTATTAAGTAAAGTGAGATTTCAAAGTAAATTTCAAATTTAAGGCCAGAGTAGACAAACTTAATGCATAGCTGTTTTGCACCCAGACCACTTCATTATCATTATTTTTTATAAAGCAGATGGTCTTAGAGAAACCATTGGATTGGTACAGTGTGGTGTTTTGCCAAGCATTTGAACTAGGCTCCAAAGTTTCCATTGCCTCCCATTGGATGATTCAGCATGGATGTCAGTAAATCTTACCTTTCAAACGTTTACGTGGCTAGGGTGTGGGGACGACAACATTAAATAGGTAATTAATAATTAGAGAGTTAGGAATTCAAACATGTATTGGTAATGTTATAGTGTTCCTTTACATTTTGGCACTACACTGACTTGAGTTCTATGCAAAGTTTATTTGCTACAGACATCAACTGTCTACATAAGTACAAATAAATGTGTATTTCTAAGATGACACTTACTCCTTTATGACACATGGTTCTTTTTTATCTACATAAACCTGCATATTCTTCACCAGAACATTTGAGTATTCTTTCATAATATGTAACATCTGAAAGAGAAGAGGAAATTTAGTTAGACATTGGTGGATTTTGTTACAAGATGAGCACTTAATGACCCAAATCCATATCAGTTGAAGCAATACTAATTTTATAAAAATAAGTTTATCACAACAGTATTTTTTCCACTCTAACACTCAGGAATCAGTAACAAGTCAGATTTACACATACCACCATTTGGTGTGTTTAGAATATAATAACAGTCTGACCTATTACTGGTCCTCCATAACTGGAATTGAGTCCCCCTTCTTTACACAAAGCACATATTTCAGCACCACTCTAGTTAGAATTGTGATGCCTGGAAACATCTTTAGAAAATGACAGTTCATAAACATAATATAATATATTGCTGCTGTTTCTATTATTATTTTTTATAGCAATAACATATTCTACAGCACTGTACAATCAATGAATAACATGTTACTACAGCGACAGAAAATTGTCATGATATAAATATTATTACAACGTATATTATATCTCTTGGAACACAGGGAGGTTTGATGGCAAACCCCCCCACCATGTACTCTTTTCAGCACGCAATCTCTGACATCAGCGTTCCCCTCCAACTAGGAGTGACGTGAGCAGAGGAGAATAGGGATGAAAGACTACTTGAAACATCACTGAAATACAGGTCGACACTATCCTCGAAATGCCAATGAAGGGGTTAATCACAACTTTACAATGGACAGTCTCCACACCAAGGGGTAGACCTCAGAACATATAATTGATAGTGCAGAAATTTCGGTCAGGTGCTCACTCTGACTCCAGTCCATAAGAATAGCTGATCCTCAAAGTAAATAGCACAAAAAATAATCGACAGGATCTGTTCATAAAATGCAACACATTTTTAACCCCCTTTAGGCGGAAGGTAAAAATAGATTTTAAAAAGTCTACAAATTTATCAATACCTGATAATGATGTTACCACAAAAAGCCTAGACATTTTTATGGATACAGTCACTTTTTTATTTTTAAAAGAGAACTTGGTCTCGGCAATGGAACCAATGTGAATTCTAGCTATTTTCACACCCTCCCCCATTTTGGGGGGAGGGACCAAGTTGGGAAAGGACACTCTGACCAACAACAGTATTTTTCTTGAAACACTATTATTTGTTTAAAGTAATCCTTTAAGTTAAGGTATTAAATTTAATCTGTAGAACTGCTGCTTGGCCTCAGAAAATGGCCTCCCGTAATTCCGTAGGGAAGAGATGGAGTGTAGCATAACAAAGTTTGTGCTGTTTACCTCTTTGAGTCTCCCACTAGTGAATGTGGGGGAGAGAACATGGCGGATCCTCTTCCACTGCTCATCTTCTGCAATAGTGAGAGCTGACTCCATGGGCCCATTTAGACCAAAGTTCTGCAGAAGGAGCAGATAAAACAGGATTAAGATAACCTCTGAATAACAGTCAATGTTCCATTGTGTGAGTATGATTGTCAGCTCACCCGTCTATTGGTGAAGTTAGTGTAACACTCTTTCACTAAAATAGCTTTAATTATAACAGGATCCATAATAGCAAGTACTGGCTGTCTGCCATCATAAAGCCTGAAACAGATAACGTAAGACAATGTAAGGAGTTAGCATTTTACATATATTAATTCAATTCAACTGTATATTATATATATATATATATATATATATATGTTTCATTAAATTTAACACTGCATCATAACTAAAAAATAATGTAAACAAAGACACTTTAACCCCTTAAGGACACATGAAGTTTGGTCCTTAAGGGGTTAAAAACAACCTAGTATGGTGTAGTGTGTAAATGTGTTATGATGCAACATTCAGTGGAGGTCTTGCCAGGAAGAGTCTCCAGAGGCAGATTTCAAAAAAAAAATAAAAATGCAATGTTTTACATTCCAGGGTTAAAATGACAGTAGCAATGAACCAATAGACACAGTGTACCAAAATAAATGTATTACCTAAGGCCGGGTGGCTAGCTGCTGCCTCTGGTGTTTTAAGATGTATTGTGGGAGTCACAGGTAGTTATTTACCTTACTAGGAAGGGAATTTTAGGGAATGTTAGACCAAAACAACAGTTGTAAAATTTCCAAATAAGCTATTTTTTTCCCCTTATTTACAGAATAAACTCCATATTGCACAATTATTTTTGCTCATTTAAACGATCTAGTGTACCTTGTGTCATAGGTTCATTTGAGCAGGGCCCTCTGCACATTCTGTTCCTGTGCATTCAACTTGTCTTGTTGCAATTATTTGTTAGTCCATCTAATTTACAGTGCTCTAGAATTTGTTGGCGCTATATATAAATAATAAGAACAATAAGTGCCCACAACAGCACACCATAATGCATGGCTTATTGCGTCATTGTAGGTTAGCTCATTCAAATTAAAATCATGAAAAAAAAAGTTATCAATGGAAAATATAGAGAAAAATATTTTGTCCCTTGTTTATCAAGTTTGTATTTGAGAAAATATTTAGTTGGCAATTTTAAAAAATAAATTAATATGGTTTAGGTGTGTTGGTTCAGAAAAAAAAAATAATTGTCACTAAATTTTGCACAGCTGTTCACCTATAAATGTTCACTTATAAAACTGGGTTGGACACCCTAATAAAAAAGGACTCTGACAAATGTCAACTGCAGGAATCACATTCACAACAACTGTACCTCACCCCCAGTTCTACCTCTAGTCTGCCATGTTAGTTTATTATGGCTAAAAAGAAAATTGCATCCAGGCATTTTATGTAAAGGTAATTTTATGTTCATCATTGGGTAGACAGGATCTGGTTTCTGTATTCCCAACTAGAGGGTTCTGGCTTTTTCCACAGAGATCTGAGTACACCTATGTTATGCCCATGGAGTGCAATTCATTGTCCCTATAAAAATAGTCAGTTACTCTGTGTGCATTCATTGTTTAATTGTCACAACAAATTAACTAATGTGATGTGCGTAGTGTATGCACGGAAGGATTATCCAATAAACGTGGTTTGATTGATTACAGCATGGTTAAGTTTAATTTGGCTGTGTTTAACTGAGACCTTTGAGGTGAACTGCACCTGTGAAGCAATGGCTTAAATTGTGTTTATGTGGGCAAATATCTGGAATGGTATAGCAATAGTAATTAACCCCTTAAGGACCGGACTGTTTTTGCGATGTTGTACATTTGCGACCAGGCAGCTTTTTACACTTTTGTGGTGTTTGTGTTTAGCTGTAATTTTCCACTCTCTCATTTACTGTTCCCATACAAATTATATATTGTTTTTTTGAGGACAAAAGGGGCTTTCCTTACATACCATTATTTATATAATATCATGTAATTTAATTAAGTTTTTTGACTTTTACTTGAAAAATCTTTTACTCATTTACAAAAGCGAATGAAAAAAACTGCTAAATAGATTAAAAATTTTGTCCTGAGTTTAAAAATACCCAGTGTTTACGTGCTTTTTTGCTTTTTTTTGCAAGTTATAGGACTATAGGTACAAGTAGGATATTGCGGTTTCAAAACATATATTTTAAAAATTTATCAATAGTGACATTGTAACACTATTATCTGTCAAATCTCTGAATAACACCCCACATGTACATATTTTTTTTCAAGTAGACAACCCAGGGTATTCAATATGGGGTATGTCCAGTCTTTTTTAGTAGCCAATTCGTTGAAAACACTGGCCAAAGTTAGCATTCATATTTGTTTGTGTGTGAAAAAAGTAAAAAACTAAATTGAACGCTAATTTTGCCCAGTGTTTGTGACTAAGTGGTTACTAAAAAAGACTGGACATACCTTGGGTTGTCTTCTTTTGCAAATGGAATGCCATCATGGGGGTAATTCTCATTCCTGGGCTACCATACGCTCTCAAAGGCAACGTAACCAACCTGGCCATTTTCAATGTAAAAATATTTGACCCATATATTTGACCCTGTAACTTTCAAAAACGCTATAAAACCTGTACATGGGGGGTACTGTTATACTCAGGAGACTTTGCTGAACACAAATATTAGTGTTTTAAAACTGGAAAACGTATCACAACAATTATATCATCAGTAAAAGTGATGTTTGTGTGTGAAAAATGCAAAAAAAGTAACTTTCACTGACAATATCATCGCTGTGATATGTTTTACTGTTTTGAATCACTAATATTTGTGTTCAGCGAAGTCTCCCGAGTAAAACAGTACCCCCCATGTACAGGTTTTACGGTGTCGTAGAACGTTACAGGGTAAAATATTACATAAATACGCACGTAGAATTTAAATATATCTGCATATTTATATATTTGAAGTCTATGTGTATATTTATATAATTATTTATGTAATTTTGTATATGGACATATGTATATTTCGTATTTTAATTTTTTTATATACACAGCTATATATACAATTTCATTCTAAGTGTATTTTGATATAAATATATATATATTTATATCAAAATACAGTTAGAATAAAATTTCATATAGATATAAAAAAAAATTATTTTTATTATTATTTTTACATTTTTTAATTTAAATTACTTATTTATATTTTATAATAATATATATACAATATATATATAGTTATTATATATATTATATATACACACACACACACACACGTGTGTAATTTAGTTATAAGTGTATTTTTATATTAATATATGTACATATTAATATAAAAATACACTTAGTATGACATTATATATATTTATGATATATAGACATATATTATATAGATATAATATGTATATATATATATATATATATATATATATAGACATAGCAGAAATGACCGCACTCCAAGGACTTTATAGAGATTTTCAAATAAAATTTAGCTTTTATTCAATCCATTTAAAAAGTCAACGTTTCAGCTCCCACATGGAGCTATCATCAGGACAAAACATAACTTACAAGTGCAGACACAAAGAAATATATACCCCCAATCCCTCAAAATAATTTACCTTAATTGTGTACTCACCTAGCCATGAGACATCTTGCCCTGCATTAGAGAGTAATGTAACTCTGAGTGTGGTGGCCATGCGTGCAAGGCCCAGAAAAGGGGCGGGGCTACAGGTTACTAAGTAACAATCCAATTGGACTGGTTGCTTTCCACTTTGTGTCCTAGTAGCTACAAACATGATTGAGCTCAGGGTAAAGTAGGAGTGGATACAGAGTCTAGAATGTTTCAAAAATGAATCTGACTGTCTTCATATATTTAAACAGTATAACAGGCTGGAAGGGCCATCAGGAATCCAAAATCTGTTATCATACTGGAAATTCACTCTTTGAGTGCTGGAGCAATTCATCCAATGCAGCACTGAAAGGATGTATCTGTTCCTGTGTAACTGAGGAAAGAGCTGAACTATAAGTCTATTCTTAAACTTGTAGCAAATAGGGTGGGCATATCTCATGGTTCGGATCTAAAAAACACATTTAATATAGACATACATGATTTTAAAAATAAAAATAAAAACAACAGCTCAATGCAGGAGGTGTTACCATGTTAACCCCTTAAGACCGGAGGGCGTACTATTACACCCTCTAATAGGCGGCTCTAAACGCCGCCGGGCGTAATAGTACGCCCTCCGGTCTTTCTGTACTTACCCGGTCGCCGGCGGTCCCACGCCGGCGATCGCGGTGGGGGGGACTCCCAGGGAGCCCCCCGCGGCACGACCGTCCTCCAGGAAGCCCCCCGGCCGTGTGAGAGTGGGGTCCTAGCGAGGACCCCACAATCACATGGCCGGGGATAGCTGGCTTCTGTATTGCCAGCAGGGGGGCTGCCTGTAATGACAGGTGGTCCCCCTGCTGGCTGAAAATAAAAATGAAATAAATAAAAAGTGTAAAAAAATAAATAATATATACTTAGATCATATATATATATTATATATATATGATCAAAGTATATATATACACATATACATACACACATGTACACCGTCTAGGTGTATTTTACTATTAATATATATATAATTATATATATATATTAATATCAAATTACACGTAGACTGATACTGATTAAATATATATATAATTATTGTTATATATATATTTATATATATATTATAAAAAAAATTAAAATGTAAATACGTTAAAAAATAAAATTACAAAAATAATTAAAAATAAATAATTAAAAAATATATAGATGTGTGTTATTTCGTTCTAACTGTATTGTGAAATTAATATATATATATATATATCAAAATACACATAGAACGAAATAATATATATATTTATACACATAAATATATACGTATATATCACTATATATATACCTATATATAAATAAAAATATTTTTTAAAAAATTATATAGATATATACATATATATACACATACGTATATATATATACATATATTGATTCTACATATATATTTATGTAATATTTTTACATAATTAGGTATCTTAATTAATTACAATTAGCAGGACCTGCATGACAACCCATGCCGAAAGTAAAGGGAATTTAATTTGCTAGCACTATATTTAACCCTATAACTTTCCGAGACACCATAAAACCTGTACATGGGGGGTACTGTTCTACTCGGGAGACTTCGCTGAACACAAATATTAGTGTTTCAAAACAGTAAAATGTATTACAACGATGATATCGCCAGTAAAAGTGACGTTTTTTGCATTTTTCACGCACAAACAGCATTAAACGGACAATATTATTGCTATGATACTTTTTACTGTTTTGAAACACAAATATTTGTGTTCAGTGAAGTCTCCCGAGTACAACAGTACCCCTCATGTACAGGTTTTATGGTGTTTTCAAAAGTTACAGCGTCAAATATAAGGCTTGCGTTTCATTTTTTTCACATTAAAATTCGCCAGATTGGTTACGCTGCCTTTGAGACCCTATGTTAGCTTAAGAATGAAAATTACCCCTTTGATGGCATACCATTTGCAATAGTAGACAACCCAAGGTATTGCAAAATATGTCCAGTTAGTTCTTTAGTCACAAACACTGGCCAAAATTGGCGTTTTTTGCATTTTTCACACAAACAAATACTAACGCTAACTTTGGCCAGTGTTTGTGACCAAATGGCTACTAAAAAAGACTGGACATACCCCATTTGCAATACCTTGGGTTGTCTACTATTGCAAATGGTATGCCATTATGGGTGTAAATTTCATTCCTGGCTACTATACAGTCTCAAAGGCAACGTAACCAATCTGGCGAATTTCAATTTCAAATGTAACGTGCTATATTTGACCCTGTAACTTCCCAAAACGCCATAAAACCTGTACATAGGGGGTACTGTTTTACACGTGAGACTTTGCTGAATACAAATATGTGTATTTTATTGCAGTAAAAGCAAACAGTATTATGACACTGACCGTTTAATTGTCATGTAGAACTAAAAAAATCCAATAAAATCGTATTTTCTCCCATTTTTTTCATATTAAATTATGTTTCATAGCTAAATATTTGATATTAAATGAAAGCCCTGTTTCCCCTGAATAAAATGATATATAATAAGGGTGGGTGCATTTACTATGAAAGAGGTGTATTACGGTTGGACAGACATGTAGCGCAAATGCCAGGTTTTGTTTACATTTTGTTTTGTTCACAACGTGTACATTTGGCTCCGTCCTTAAGGGGTTAATACATTGATTATGCATAGGGTACTAAAGTTTAATAAATAATATGGACAGACAAAATGACCAGTGTTGAATTGCATAGTGTCCCCTGCATAGTTATTTATGATTATATACAAGATGTGACATGAGTAGTGTTATCTCTTAGGTACATAGCACACAGCATTGGAGTATGGTGGTCTAGTAGGGTATTTAACCCCTATATGATTAGTATGTGTGGCCAAACTATGTGTAATAGCCTAATTACCATGCATGGAATAAGCAATGGAATGATATGCAATGTATGCAGGGGGAGCATAAATCAAATTATAGCAACAAGACAATTTATACACATTGCTGTATAAACAAATATGTTTAGGATTATTGGATGAGATTAAACAGTGTATTTAACTCCTACAGGGAAACAAAAAAATGTACTATAGAAACATAGATAATGTGTACTTCTCGTTCAAGCCTCTGGGATATACTGTGTCCAAAGTTTTTATCCAGAACGTTTCACGTTGTAGAAGAAGTTTACTTCGATCACCCCCACGTCTGAGGGGGGGTATATGGTCTATAGCCATAAATTTCAGGGTGGGTAACGTGTGGCCATGGGCCAAAAAGTGTTTTGCTACAGGGAGTTCAGCCTTATTGTCCCTATAGGCAATGCGAATGTTGGATCTGTGGTTGCGGATCCGTTCCCTCAGTGGGAGGTCAGTTTTGCCCACATAGGAGAGGCCACACGGACACTGGAGTTTATAGATGACAAAATCCGAAGTGCAGGTCAACCTATGCCTAATTTGGTACTTCCGCCCAGTGTGTGGATGCTGGAAGAATTTTCCAGGTATCATGTGGCTGCAGGTGACACAGCCCAGACAGCGATAGCAACCAAGGCTCTGTGCTGTTTGTTGTTTGGTGTAGCAGTGTACTGGGTCCGTCTTTACCAGGAGGTCACGTAGATTTTTTCCCCGTTTATAGCACAACATGGGTGGATTCTGAAAGATTTTTGGTAGTGTTGGATCTTCTGATAGTAAACGCCAGTTGGAGTGCAAGGTGTTCTTGAGGCTGTGGGATGCCGTATTGTAGGTGGTCGGAAAGACTAGTCGTGGTGTATCATCTTTTTTCTCTCTCATAGGCTGTTGGCTCTTATCAAGTGCTTTCTGAAGAGTAGCATCCTTGTAGCCTCTCTGTTTAAACCTATTCCATGTTTCTTTAGTTTGTAAGCATGCTCTCATGGGATCTGAGTTATTCCTTTTAACCCTTAGGAACTGGGAGAGTGGTAAGGATTCTTTCAAGTGTCGTGGGTGAAAGCTGTCAGCCTGGAGTAGGGTGTTACGATCCGTTGTCTTGGTGAATAAAGTATACCCAAGCTTCATCTCTTTTTTAAAGATATGGACATCCAAAAAATTCACTGCATCCTGGCTCACTGTCATCGTTAATTTGACCGGTGTGGGTGCCCTGTTGATGGCCTCTATCATCTCCAAAATGGACTGGTGATCTCCCTTCCATATAAGGAACACGTCATCAATGAAGCGCCTATAGAATAAAATATTTGCTTCATACGGTTGTAGAATGTGGAGGGTCTCAAATATAAACATAAAGCTGTTGGCATACATGGGTGCCATAGCTGCTCCCATGGAGGTCCCCGCTATTTGCTGGTACCAAGTTTCTTCAAATCTGAAGTAGTTAAGTGTAAGGACTGCCTCCAGGATTTCCATGACGTATTCAATCGGGGGGCCTGTGTATGTTGTTGAGTCTTGTAACACTTTGCGCATTGCTTCTATACCATCCAAATGAGGAATGATTGTGTAGAGACTTTTCACATCACACGTTACCAGCAGTGTAGTAGTGTTGGGTAAATTGATGGTGTCCAGAAGTTTCAATAGGTCTGGGGTATCTTTAATGCAGGTGGGAAGCTTGACAACTGTATCTTTAAATAAATAGTCCAGCCACTGAGCCAATGGTTCCAGTACTCCCCCTATGGCTGACACTATGGGTCTGCCTGGTGGATGATCAATGCTCTTGTGTACCTTGGGTAAGGTGTAAATAATCGGAGTCTTAGGTGTGGACTGGATCAAGAATTTCTGTAACTCTGTTGTCACAAAGTTAGCTTCCACTCCTCTTTGTACAATCGCTGAGATTTGTTGTGTGATACATGCTGTAGGGTCGCCCTTAAGTTTGGTGTAGGTGTCTGTATCTTGAAGCTGGGATAGAAGTTCCACTCGATAGTCACAGTAGTTAAGAAGTACTATGCCTCCACCTTTGTCCGCCGGTCTAATGACCAAGTTCACATCGTTTGCTAGTGAGCGGATAAGTTCAAGGTCTTGCTTCGTTATGTTGCTGAAATGACGTTGTTTGGTTTGCAAGATTATATCCATGTCTCGCTGCATATTACGCAGAAATGTCCTTATTGATAACTGCTGTGTTGGAGGGTCAAAGGTGCTTTTGGCTCTAAAGTGACCCATTTCACTGGTAGTTGGGGAGGAGGTGTTTTTGAAGAATTCCTTCAGGCGTATGGTTCTTCCGAATTTGTATAATTCTACGTCACTCTGAAGGTGGTTTGGGAGATTGGTTGGCACAAAAGAAAGTCCTTTTTTGAGTAGTTCGGTTTCATTGGGTGTTAATATTCTATTTGATAGGTTGAAGATTGGGATTACCTCGGTGGTCGTGGTGGTTTTCCCCTTGTGGTATGATCGGCCTTTCTGGCCCCTTCTGGTAACATACCTTCTCTTTGTCTTGTTAAATTCCTTGTATGGACCCTGGAAGGTGGTCCTTGATCCTGCTCTAAAAAATCTTGTGTAGAGGATTTGTTGGACTGGTTAGAGTGTGATGGTTCTGAGTCAGAGGTTGATTCCCCAGATGTTCGGTCAACAGTAAATTGTTTAGGTTTAGATATAGTGGAAAGCAACCAGTCCAATTGGATTGTTACTTAGTAACCTTAGTAACAAAGTGGAAAGCAACCAGTCCAATTGGATTGTTACTTAGTAACCTGTAGCCCCGCCCCTTTTCTGGGCCTTGCACACATGGCCACCACACTCAGAGTTACATTACTCTCTAATGCAGGGCAAGCTGTCTCATGGCTAGGTGAGTACACAATTAAGGTAAATTATTTTGAGGGATTGGGGGTATATATTTCTTTGTGTCCGGGCACCACAGGATTACACCAGGAGTGCAAGCCTTCGCTATTTATATATATATATATATATATATATATATATATATTTATTTATTTTTTTTAATTTTTTTTTTTCCTAATTAACAACGGCGATCCGGTAAGTAACTAAGACCGTTAGGACGGTTCAGGACCATCAGCGGTCGGCAATGTAAAAATTCTGATGACGGTCCTGAACCGTCCGCGGTCCTTAAGGGGTTAAGGCATACTTTATTTTACTGTTTGTAAACCAAACAACATAGAGGAATTGTAATATGTATTACTACCACCAGAACCTTATCAGATATGCTGTCAGAGTTAAAGAGGAAACACTCACAATATATAGTGTACATGTTTCTTTCCAAGACAGTTTTGTGAATGGGGAGTTATTGATGGTCTGAGAGGGTCGGCCAATCAGCAACACCCATGTCCGGCAGCACTCCGCACTTACTGAAAGTGACAATTTAAAAGCCGGATTGTCTAGGGCAGGGATAGGCAACCCTCGGCACTCCAGATGTTATGGACTATATTCCCCATAATGCTCTTACACCCATAATAATGGCAAAGCATCATGGAAGGGGTAGTCCAAAACATCTGGAGTGCCGAAGGTTGCCTATGCCTGGTCTAGGGGGTAGTGGACATCACCGCTGGAGGCAAATTAGCCTTATAGAGTAATACTGTGACTTTATAGGCATATCTTCTATACTGTGTTTTGTAAGTTTTTAATCTTATTTGGTTGGGGCACTCTGTTTATAAATTGCCTTGGTGGTGACAGCTTTTATAGGTGTGGGTAGTGTTAAGTGGGATTTTTTGTAATCATTATTCCCGGTATAGTGGAAACAAAATGTGATTTTAACCCTTTCACCGACTGAAGCAAGTCACATAACCCTTTTCACCAACCTAAGCAAGTCACATAACTCAGGGCTCGACAAATCCCAGGCGCCATGAAAAGTCAGTGTTTACACTGAAAGACCTGCAGGGACAGGCTATAGACACCAGAACCACTATATTAAGCTGTAGTGGTCCTGGTGACTATCATGTCCCTTTGAAAAATTTATTTTTGTCATTGAATATAAAGCTATGTAAGTAAAAAAAAAATCTGGCTCCTAACTTTTTTTAGCTGGCTCCTAGAATCAAATCAAATTTGTCAAGCCCTGATGTAACCTATTGGAATCACAGTGTCCATGATAATTTATGCTTCATTTTCTTGTTTTTATCAAAACACTAGGCCATATATCCAAGAATCACTGCCACATACCCCCATAACTTTCCATATTTCTTAAAGCATTCCATGTCAAACTGCAGCACCCCCTGCGAACAGAAAAACAATCTCATAAGACACGCTATTATTCCGCATGTAAAAACAAGACACATCATAACGTCATTGAGTAATTGTGGAGATCTTTCTAAACTATGAAACTTACTGTCTGAATTCCCCTGAGTATAGTGTACTCAAAAACTTGTATAAAGTATCCAAAAAGTTATCTGGAGTTTCTACTTTCTTCCCACATGTTTGAGAGCATTTGAGAGGAAGTAATTAAATGGAGAATATGTTAATCCTATAAAAAATAGGATATGTGTTTATTCACAATAGTGAATCAAAGAAGTTTAAAAAAAAAAAAATTTAAGTCCTGCAACCATGCCCATATTGTTTATATATAATGAAAAAAAAAATCTAAATATTATAGGTTTTGGAAGCTGTGCCCAAAACCTATAATAATTATTATTGCCTAATACCTCCACTACATGAGACTTGTATCACATGATTTCACAGGTTACTATGATAGCCATGCTATGTAGATAATATGCCTATGCTGTCTGATGTAACTTTGTCACGTTCAGGTGTAAGCAGGGATGAGAGTTATTGAAAGGTATGCGGTCATAAAATTGTAACTAAGGCCTTGATGTAATATTGTTGGATAAGCTTTCCAAATGACTTCAAATTTTTGGATAAACTTTTTAAATGATTTAGTATTATGAAATATATTGTAATGTTCTGATTTATTTTTTTATAGAATATATTTTTTGGGGGAAAAAAAACATTAAAAGTTTATTCAAAAATATTAAATCATTTAGGTTTTAAGAAAAACACTTCCATCGGTCATAAGCACTAACTACTTAAGTACACATTGATTAAATTATTTAATGTATTTATAACCGTAAATATACTTTGATTGTACCCTTATCAAACAGAGCATTTAGTACACACACTTGCAAAGAAACAAGGACTCACTTTTCTATATCCCAGAAATGTTCCTATAAACGGTAATGGTGTGGGTCCTGGAATCCCAAACTTCTTAAAGAATCGATAAGGATACAGTCCATATCTGAGGAGGTAGTTACCATTTAGTATAGGAAAATACACAAAGTTAACTCAGCACTCACATTCAAAGAGTTGACATTTCTTTCAAAATTAGCACCCTTTAGGTTTGTAAAGAAGCATTAACCTTTGTGTATAACAAGAAAGCATCTCACACAAACCTCTCCTTTATACATGGGATACAATGAATGACTGGGCTTATAAGGTAAAGGTAGCCTAGCACCACCACATATAAAAAGCACATGTTAAAAATTCATGAAGCCATGAAAATTGCAGGGAAATACACATTTTCGTGACCTTTCAGTTTTACATACTAGACAACATACAGGTAGCTACCAAGTTTTTGTATTACAACTCTCATAATTCTCAGCCAGACCAATGCTGACTGAGATCATGTGAGAAGTAATTAAGTATTTGGTAAGCTAGGTGAGTGCAGGAGATCCTTACAGTTTGTTAGGTCCAGCAATACTTGAAATACGTATGCAATATGACACCAGGGAACATTAGACGACTGAATAGACATCTCACCGTTGCACCTTTCATTTAAAAAGAACTTGTCCTAAAACTTCTACCAAGGGCAAAGAGAAGCATCCCACCCCTGTTACACCATATTACAGGTGTATGCACCGAGTAGGGAGGGGACAAGTTTTGTTGTATTGCCTGCATATTGCATACTCACACTAATAGAAGAACCCAGAATGCAGCCAGAAGGAACCACGTCCATGGGGATAGGTTTGGGATGAAATCCATGGCTCCCTCTCACAAGTTTCACCCTAAACAGGGAAGTGTAAGTGCCTGTGTGTCAATGTATCTGTGTCTTTGTTAAATTGTTATCGAAGCTAGTTCCTTCTCTCCCTGCGTTACAATCCCCCTTCCAGACAGTCCTTGCGTTCCGCCCATCGAACCTATTATTGCCAAACACACCAGTCATGTGATGCGTTGGGAGGCTCAGTATGTGTTACACTGTAACTGTAACGTTTACATTCAATGCACATTCAAGTGACGTCATGCAGCCGGACTGGACTGACAGCCCCGACTTGGCACACAACTGATAACAATATGTGAGGACAAATAAGGACCTTAGTGGTGCATAGGAAATGTATGGAGAATAATTACAGTGTGTCCTTGTAGTGCACGCCTATGCAATGCATACCTAATATAGTCTTAGTAGAGGAAATGTAAATTAGACTTTGGCGTTTGCTAATAACAGTCATGATAGCACCAGGATTCTGGTAGAAATTGGAACTCACTCATTCCATATTAGATGTACTATCCTTCACTTTCAGCACTGTGCACCTCCAAACAGTTTTAGGCTACAAAATATGGCTCCAGCTGTCTAAGGAGAGCTCTACTACTGACACTAGGCCTATATTAGAGAGATATGAATTCGTAACAAACAAAACGATTGTAACAATAACATTAAAAAAGCACCTCATCCATCTCAGCAATGCCCCATCTTCTAGCAAGACACTGCATTAAGACTAATCAGTATGCAAGGTTCCTCCCACATTCATCTTATAAATATTTTAGTGGTTTATTTTTACATTATAAATTATAACACTTTACATTAAAAAAGACATACAGACATATACTTAATTAGAAAACATTGTAGTTTAGACTCCTAAAGGTACACTATAGTCACCTGAACAACTACAGCTTATTGTATTTGTTCAGGTGAGATTTATAGCTCCCTGCAGGCAATCTAATGTAAACACTGTATTTTCAGAGAAAATACAGTGTTTACATTGATTGATAGGAATACCTCCAGTGGCCGTCTCTCAGACGGCCACCAGAGGGACTTCCTATCATGTAGGGCCCTAAAAAGGCATTGTACATGTCAGACGTATTAAAATACGTCTGATGTGTGCAGGAGAGAGAAGGCACTGTGACGAAATAGGGGGTGTGGTGTATCACCAAATTAATATATATTTATTACACAAGGTTCGTCTACATTAAAAGGTATTTATTAGAAGACAACAACACAATACTATAAGTTTATCACAAACATACAGCCCAGACCCACGGAGCAACAACCCTTTTTAAATCTAACTATCTATATAGTAATCCCCTTCGACACACGTGAGATCTCACCCACAATTAGGCCTTCACATCTAGTAATGGCTCACTGCTGCAAGTTCAACATCATATCCACCAAGGAAGAAAAGGAAGCAACAGAGTGTAACATGGTTCACCATGATAGCACATGGCATCTGCACATCTGCTCTGTAGCACAGCCAAGAAGGAACAGAGAGGAATGGAAATAGGGGGAAATGGTTCTCTCTCAACTGACTTGTAAAGGTATTGAATTACCCAATTACCAAATCAAAGGGTAAAGCTTACCCCCCTGTAAGAAAGGCATACATGAGCTTGGTCACATGACCCCTGGTCACCATATTAGTTTCACCACAGGGGGCGCGGCTTCACGAGGCTCCCGGCACTGGAACCAGGTGAGTAAAACGGGTTGGCTGGAGAGTCCCTTTAATGTCTCTATTTAAAAGGAGCACGCTAACATTCTAACATTAGAAATACTAAATATTTAAAATGTCTAAGGTACTCCTAATCAGTGGTGGAACTAACACGGTCGCAGGGGTGCTTACCTGGATGGCAGATGCCTACTCTTCCTACGGGAGGTCAGGAGATAGGATTTCAAGAGGCAGGTGTTATTCGGCGGCAATGGAGCACTAATCTGACAGTTCCTGTCTCCTCCCTTGCATGCCCTCTGTGATGCCGGGAGCCGGAATATGACATAATTTCGGCCCTGGCATACTAAACAGCGCGGGACTTGAGAAGAACTGTCAGATCAGTGCTCCCTCTCTGCCGTCGTAGGCCGCCTGTCTCCTGTCCTCTCCTTCCCTCCGGTATATATTAGCAGAGCAGGCACCTGCCATCCAGTTAAGCAGTTGCCTACTCTGCCCCTTTTTGTAAGCGCCGATTTGGTGCCCCACCTTCTAGCGGCCTATGGTTGCAGGGTTCAACAGGGTGGCCGATCCCCCTGGAGTGTCAAATTTCAAAGTGCATGCAAATCCCCACTCCCCTTCTCAAGCCTTAAATACACTCCTTCCTTGTCATCACGCTGTTTCGATTGGTCCTTTCAGTCACTACTGATGAATCTGCTGATTTCTGATTTACTAACTAGTTCCGCCTTGCTTTCAACATCATAGTGTTCCGCACCCGATGACGTCATGCATTCCACTGTAACCGGGTTAGAGGCATGGTGTCTTCCTGTTGTTGGGTCCATTGGCGTCTTCACGCTACATGCACGATGACGTATGCATTCCAGGTACACTTGGTGGTCCTGGGGTTGTATTTAAGGACTGGGAAGGGGAGGGGGGATTTGTTTGCACTTTGAAATTTGCAATTTGTTTGAAAGTACAGAATTGTCCCTGAGGAAGTCCCTAAGTGGGATGAAATGCATAAGACCAAATTTATATGTTATAGTCATAACTGCTAACTTTCATGTAATTGTAAATTAGCAGTGTGCACTTTACTTGTTACCTTATTAGGTTGCACTTTGTCTTTCTGCTCATTTACTGAGATAAATAAGACCCAAGATCTGGAGGAGAGTATCATCAATTACTATTAAAAGACTCTTTATCTGATTTGAAACTGTGAGTAGCCAGTTGGCTAAAAATACCAACTACTAGTATGTTGCACAGTTTTGCACTATGTTGTACCATTGGCTGATAGGTTACCCCTATTTGTATATATTGATAACAGGGCAATCTTTAACGCGGGGCAAATGGGGCAGCTGCTCTGGGCCCGGTTACTCCTGGGGGGCCTAAGTCTGCTCCATGGACCCCCTGCTGCACCCAGCGCCGGACTGGCTCACCAGGATACCGGGAAATTTACAGGTGGGCCGCGGCATCTGGGGGCTGCACATGTAGGTGCCACCACTGGCACTCTGAGGGGACCGGCCACATTCCACGCTGGAGCCCCCAGGCCGGGTGGCAGCCTCGTCGGGCTGGCGGCACACCTGTCACTAATGCAGAGGACTGAAGGAGGGAGCATGTCTCTCTATCATTCTCCCTCGCGGTTCCCACAATTCCCAGCACAGTATGGGGAAAGAGTGAGACACAGGGGAAGAAAGAGGGGGAATAGAGAAATGGTGGAGGGAGAGGAAGAGACCGAGGGGAAAGAGAGATATGGGGGGGAGAAAGAGAGAGGGGAAGAGAGATGTGGGGGGAGAAAGACACAGAGGGGAAGAGAGATGTGGGGGGGAGAAAGACAGAGGGGAAGAGAGAGACACAAAGGGAGAATGAAGATAGACACACAAGGGGAGGGGAAAAAGAGGCAGAGGGGGAAGAGAGAGACTGGGAAGGAGAGGGGAGATATGGACACATAGAAGCAGTGAAGGGGAGAAAGAAACATACAGAGGGACTGGGGGGGAGACAAAAAGGCACACAGAGGGGCTGGAGGTAAAAAGAGGCACACATAGGGGCTGTATATATCACTGGTGGATCCAGGGGGGGCAAGGGGGAATTGCACCCCTCCCTCACCCGAGGCTCCCCTGTCCAAGCTCCAGCCCTGCAATGTGCCTTCACAGACTGGAGGGGAGATCAGAGATCTCCCTCCCCGTTCCGCAGGCACTGTGTGGGCAGCCGGCAGGGCAGAGAAGAAGAGAGGACCCGGGAGCTCAACCTGCAGCTCCTCCGGGTCCTTCTTGCGCAAGCACAGAGCATTGCCACGGTTACCATGGCAACACTCCAGCTCTCACGAGAGTGAACTCTAGCCCTGGAGCTACGGGCTAGAGTTCACTCTCAACACTGCGACCACCAGGGATTCCTGGTGGTCGTGGTGGTGAGAGTGAACTCTAGCCCCATACACACACTGCCCCCACACACACACCATACCCATTCACACACTGCCCCCCCACACCATACACACACACACACTGCCCCCCATACACACATTGCCACGCACACATACACAGCCCCCCATACACACATTGCCCCACAGACCCTACACATTCACACAATACACCCCCTGCACACACTGCACCCCTCACACATTGCACCACTGCTCCTATACCCTGCTACAGTCCCATATCCCAGCAGACCCCAGGTAAGTTGTCAAACTGTTTGACTACTTACTCTGGGAGGGGGTCCTGGCACCATAACCACTACACAGAGCTGTAGTGGTTATTGTAGTGGTCATTGTGCATGGATTATTTCTTTAAATAATCTACAAGTGCCCCTCCCGAGGTCCGGCTCTGGATCCGCCACTGGTATATATAAAGGGTGGAGACACAATGTTTGGATGAATTTTAGGCAGCCATGATCCAGGAAGGATCTCTAACAGCCATCCGAGAAGTGACCAGTGGAGTTATCACTAGGCTGTAATGTAAACACTGCATTTTCTCTGAAAAGACAGTGTTTACAGCAAAAAGCCTGAAAGTAATGATTCTACACACCAGAACAAATTCAATAAGCTGTAGTTGTTCTGGTGACTATAGTGTCCCTTTAATATATGTGTAAATATTATAGGCATATATATATATATATCTAGAAAAATACCTCTTGGTATACCCTCTTGGTTTTGTTTATATATATATCTATCTATCTAATACACACATTAATATACATGTCATATATATAGGATTTCAGTCCTTCATGGCGTAGTGTTTTACCAATTATTTTCTTGGTGACTATGGTCTCAGCTGCCTTGAGATCAACCACCATGTAGTTCTGGGCTGATTCCTCAGCGTTCTCATGATCATTGAAACTCCACTCTTACATGGAGCAACAGACCGA